GATCCTATTTTTATCAACAGCTGCATGAAAAAGTGACGCTGAGTTTTGTCCAAACTAGTCCCTTCAATTTTGAAGCCATGATTTTCTTCTTCTGCCTGGACCTCGTTTGCCTTCAATCTTCCCTTAGAAGATTAAATGAAGCATGGCGTATTTTGCTGGGTGTCGCATCCCATGTCCAAAATATCTAACTTTCACTTTTTTATAGTTTTGATGATTTCCCTTGGTTTCCCAGGCGGCTTATCACTTCCAATCTTATCACCTCTTCAATAGTAAATAGCATGATCTAACTGAAAGTATCTGACAATAGTCCTTGATTTTCAACCGGTCAGTTAGAAACCTTTCAACGTTACAACAGACCCCTCCCCAAAAGCTATTTGCAAAGTGGTTTTGAAATTCTAATGCTGCCCGCCCAGGCGGTCATGTGACTATATTTTGGCTGCTGGGCAACTAGCCAGCATACATAGCCATTTGCAACATCCCACGGTCTTATGACCATGAATTATGATGGTTTTGACTGAAACCAGAAACTGTTTATACAATCATGGCATTTGCTTAAAGACTGTCATATATATAAGGGTCATAAAATCAGGTCCAGTCTGCTTTATGACCAGCACAACTATCAATAATTGCCAGGCTCAATTAGGGTCATAACTCAAACACTTCCTGCTAATGCCTAAGATGATGTCTCTGTATAGTTGATCCATCTTTCAGAATAATAACAGAATACAAAGTTGGGAGGGACTTTGGGGGTCTTCTAGTTCAACCCCCTGCTCAAGCCACTTTAAATAAATGGTTGTCCAGTCTCTTCTTTAAAACTTCCAATGTTGGACCATTTACAACTTCTGGAGGCAAGTTGTTCCACTGATTAATTGTTCTGTCAGGAAATGTCTCCTTAGTTCTAAGTTGCTTCTCTCCTTGATTAGTTTCCACCCATTGCTTCTTGTCCAGCCCTCAGGTGCTTTGGATAATAGCTTGACTCCCTCTTCTTTGGGGCAGCCCCTGAGATATCGGAACACTGCTATCATGTCCCCTCTAGTCCTTCTTTTCCTCAAACTAGACATACCCAGTTCCTGCAGAAGTTGTGTTGGTTTCTTATGTTCCATGTTCTTATAATTTTACTTTTGTGTCTTTAGTCTTTTTCCTTCCTGGATGGCAAGCTCAGGAACTAATTATCCCAAGGTCTTTGAGCTAGCTGCATCAAAAAAAAAAAAAAAAACCCTATAGTACAGTTAGTCATGGTGGTCCCAAAGGTCCTTTTTCAGGAGGCAACTGAACTTTCTGTTTTTTCTTTGAAGACGTTTTGCTTCTCATCCACGAACCTTCTTCAGCTCTGATGGGATGGTGGGGAATTGAAGGATTTATACTCCTTGCAGACAGCTGGTCATTTGCATTCTTTTAGAGAGTCGTTGAGTCCACTTGGAGGTCCACTACTCAGGTGTCCTCAGGGTCACCTGAGTAGTGCAAATGGGTGTGGAGCCTTCTTGGCTGCAGGATGTTTTCTGCCCTGTGTCCCTTCACTGTTGAAGACAGGCACAGGCTGTTGGGGATGAGTCTGTGTTGTCTGCATCTCAAACTGAAGTGCATATGGCTCCTGTAGTCTGCAATTTTCTGGAAATCCGTTCATACTCTCACACCATTCAAAGGGGATTCATCCCAAAGTGCATAGCTAAAAGTCTATGGAGTTTCTCAGTCATCCAGGTCATGATTCCCCCAAAGGTGGTTTTTAGGAGTGTGATGTGTGAGCAGCAGCCATGGGCATGATGCGCCACATGGCATCTAGCTCCGAGCGGTCACGAGCAGCTGCGAGTGGCCGCAAGCAACTACAGAAGAAGTCAGGCAGTAGCGCAGCAGGTGTCGGGGGCATGGGGGGGGTCTGGCTGCCATTGTCCTAAGGTAAATGGATAAGACATCCCCCGAAGATAAGACCTGGTGCTTATTTGGGGGCCCAAAAAAAAATAAGACTGGGTCTTATTTTCAGGGAAACACAAGTATTTCCACTGGTATACTTTTGAACTGTTAGGTGAAACTAAGTGAAGACGGGCGCTCATCCAGGGGTGGGATTCTACCAGTTCGCACCTATTCACTAGAACTGGTTGTTTACGTTCTACGCAATTCGGAGAACCGGTTGTTAGAAGAAATTACTGGCCTAATCCTGTAAAGAAGGCAGGAAGGAAACATTCTGGTGTTGCTTACAGAAACTGCCTCTCCATTAACCCTTATTACATTCTTGGCAGGACTAGACTTCCTATCTCAGGAACCTCTCTTGAGTTTTTTTCCCCTCCTTTGCTGGTACTTTGCTTGTGTGGAATGACCATTTAAAGTTACAGTGGCACTGAAAAAAGTGACTTATGTCCATTTTTCACACTTACAACTGTTGCAGCATCCCCACAGTCATGAGAGGCCAGGCGAGGAGATGCGTCCCTCAATGTGAGTGATATTGAGTTGGCCACACCCAGCCAATAACATGACCACCAAGCCATGACCACCCAGTCACATGACCACCAAGCCATGCCCACCACCTAAGCCATGCCCACAGAACCAGTTGTTAACATTTTTGAATCCCACCCCTGCGCTCACCCCATCATGCGCTGCATGGACCTCAAACCTGCTGTCGGCTTTTCAGCTTCTTAATTGTTGAGTCCTCATACCTCACAATGGTGTTTGTTGAATGACTACCATTAAAAAGGCTGGAAAATTACTTCCAGTCACATGGGTGCCTCGACTTATGAGTGCAACAGTTTATGACCATAACTCTGAGCTCAATTATTCTTGGTGGACATTTTCAATGTTCTTTGCTTATCCCTTCATCCCTGGCATGATGACTCAGCATAGCAGGACCTGAGGGAGTCATGCCTTCTTGCATTGTAAGAGAGAAAAATAATAGAATAGAGAAGAATTTAAATAAACCAAACCACCAGTGGTGGGATTCAAATTTTTTTACTACCGGTTCTGTGGGTGTGGCATAGCTTGCTGAGTGTGGCTTGGTGGGCATGGCAGGGGAAGGATACTATGAAATCTCCATTCCCTCCCCACCCCACTAACCTGCTTTCCAGATCCTTTCTCCTGTGCAGGGCAACAAAAGAAGACCCAGCCAATCAGCTGGGACTTGGGAGGCAGATAAGAGATGAGGGAGGGGCCAGTGGGAGGCGGTTCCCCAAACTACTCAAAATTTCCGCTACCAGTTCTCCAGAACTGGCCAGAACCTGCTGAATACCATCTCTGCAAACCACCCATCTCAATCTGTGTGGGATGATTGATGAGAGAAGCTGGAAAGAATTATCTTTTACAAATATTTTTAAACAAAGAACAGAAGGAGGATTATTGTCTTGGCTAAATTTCCTCCTAATGTTTTCCAGATGTAGCTCAGTTGAAGTCAAGGATGGCATCTGCAGTCGGACATCACTCTTGCATAAATATTGTTTTTTTCTCCCAACGCAATGCAGCATTATAGCTGTCTCTACCAATGCTCCTAAGGGAGGGATGCTATAGAGCAGGGGTGTCAAACTGGCGGCCCACGGGCCAAATGCGCCACGCGCAGGCCACACTGACCCCCAACTCCGCGAAGGGAAAAAACATCACGAAATATCATGTGACGGCAACATGACGCTGCAGGTTTGACATCTGTGCTCTAGAAATTCTACATGTATAGAGTATTGAAGCATAGAGGACATGAAGTAATAGAAACCGATGGAAGCATCCAAAGAAGCTCATTGATGGGACATTCCGAAGCTGTGTTACTCAACCTTGGCAACATTAAGATGCGTGGACTTCAATTCCCAGAATTCCCTAACCAGCCATCTTTTTTTAAGAAGAGCTAGCTGTCCATGGATACTTTAAGTGATTTTTCTGCTTGTGGGCCTTTCCAGCTCTAAGTAGTCCTCAATTTACAACAGTTTATTTGGTGACCGTTCAAAGTTACATCCCGGCAGGGGTGGGATTCAAATTTCTTAACAACTGGTTCTGTGGGCATGGCCTAATTTGTGGGTGTGACTTGGTGGTCATGTGACTGGCTGGGCATGGCTTGTATGTAAATATTGTAAATATATATGTAAAGATTGAATTTTTTATTTTAAAAAAAGAGCAACTTTTACTCAAAATCAGGCAAAGCAGGCAGGCAGATTGAACTGCTTGCAGAATCACAGCTTCACTCTCAGATCTACCTTTCTGCAATCTGCTGCCTGAGTCTGCACTGAAAAATAGAAGCTTCAATCCTAAGGAAGGTTCAGCTCTGATCTCAGGCCACTTCTCCCTCCCCCAACCCCCTGATCACCACCCCTGACTGGGCCTCAGGGAAGCCTCCTGGATGGGGTGGGGTGGGTGGGGAGGGGAGGGGCCAGCCAGTGCTGTGATTTGCCAGTTCTCCGAACTGCACAGAACCGTAACAACCGGTTCTATAGAACTGGTCCGAACTGGTAGAATCCCACCCCTGCATCCCGGGAAACAAAGTGCTTGTAAGAGAACGCCAGTGCTTGCTCTTTGTTTCCACTCCCTGTAGATCAGGGGGTCCCCAAACCCCAGGCAGCAGCCCACTATTGGGCCCCAGCCAGTTCGAAACCAGGCTGCGGGAGACATGGGCAAGTGTGCATGTGTGAAGCTCCATTTGTGTGAGTTTTGAGTGCAAGCACCCTCTGCTCGCACGCAAATCTCCATTTGTGTGAGGGGAGGGCGCATGCATGCCTCTCGCATAAATGGAGCTGTGTGCTCATGCATGCACCTGCCACTCCCATGGCCCCCTCATGCTGGGCCAGGCCGCCAGCCTGGAAAGGTTGGGGAATCGGCCTCTTCTGCTGCAAATAGCATAACTAGAATAAAAGGTGCAAAATATTTCAGAAAACAGGCTTTGCGTCATCATTTACTAAGATCAAAAATGTCAGTCTTTTGCACCTCAGGGTTTAGGTGTTTGGCATTGGGGAATCTTGTTTGTTTTTTAAGCATGAAATGCTGACTGATCCTCCTCTTTTTTTTTCTTATCTTCCTCTCAAGTGAACACAGCAGATTCCTTGCTATCCAGGAAATGGAAGGGAGAAAACTTCGGTGGGGCGCTGTCACACCTTCTGGAGAAGACCTCTCTAGGTGCAACAACATCCTGGGACTCTGCTGAATGTAGTCACTGTTGTCCCCTATTGGAAACATGACAGAGGTGATCTCCCACTTCCCAACAATGGAGTTGGAGAACTCCAGCGCTGCTAGACATCTTGGATCCTGCTTCAGGGGAGTGAATGTCAGTGAAGAGTACAAGGAACACCTTGCATCTCCTTGGTTCGCCACAACATTTGGCCTGATCGGCCTCTTTTCCAACCTCTTTGCCTTGTGCGCTCTGGTCAATTCCTCCAGGAAGATGCAGAGCCCATCTGGTTCCTCCTTCTTAGTCTTCCTCTGTGGCTTGGTGGTGACGGACTTCCTGGGCCTCCTGCTCACTTTTGTCATCGTGATTCCCTACCACTTCCTCCGCTTTGACTGGATGGAGGTAGATCCTGGATGCCACCTCTGCAACTTCTTGGGCTTCGTCATGGTCTTTTTCGGGCAGTGCCCTCTCTTGTTAGGTGCCACCATGGCTGGGGAGCGTTTTGTGGGTATCAACCGGCCCTTTTCCCGATCCGCTGGTATTTCCAAACGCAGGGCCTGGACTTTGGTGGGTATGGTGTGGGCCCTGGGTTTCTTTTTTGGCCTCTTACCCTTCTTTGGCCTGGGGAACTATAGCCTGCAGTACCCCAACTCCTGGTGTTTTCTCACTTTGGTCCATGATGCCAGGAATGTAGTTTTCTGCTTCCTGTTTGCCCTGTTGGGCCTCCTCTCTGTGGGTCTTTCCTTCCTCTTCAATACAGTCAGCGTTGTGACCCTTTGCCGAGTCTACCATGACTCTGAGTCCGTGCAACGCCGGAGGGACAGCGAGGTGGAAATGATGGTCCAGCTTTTGATGATCATGGTCATCGCAAGTGTCTGTTGGCTTCCCTTGTTGGTGAGTCCTCAAGTGTTAGCCTTTCTTTTATGGGTAGTCTTCAATTTACAACCATTTAAGCTATGGCGGCGCAGTCGTTAGAATGCAGTCCTGCAGGTTACTTCTGCTAACTGCCAACTGTCAGCAGTTCCACAGTTCGATTTTTACAGGCTCAAGGTTGACTCAGCCTTCCATCCTTCCGAGGTCGATAAAATGAGGACCCAGATTGTTGTGGGCAATAGGCTGACTCTCTAAACTGCTTAGAGAGGGCTGTAAAACACTGTGAAGCAGTATATAAGTCTAAGTGCTAGTGTTATTTGTTTAGCAACCATTTAAAGTTACATCAGTACGAAAAATAAGTGAATGATAACTGGTCTTTGCAGTTATGACTGTCACAACATCCCCAGGGTCATGTGATAAAAATTTGGGCCCTTGGCAACCACCATGCATTTACAATAATTGTGGTGTCCTGCGGTCATGGTGACTATCATTTTGCAACCTTCTCAACTGGCTTCTAACCACAAAATAAAAGTAGCCAGATTGCTTAACACTTGCATGATTCAATTAATTGCGGTGATTCACCCAACAACGGTGGCAGAAAAGGAGGCAAAACTGGGAGCAATTCCCTTAACAACTGCCTTGCTTAACGATGGAAATTCTGGTCACAATTGTGGTCATAAGCTGAGGACTACCTGTAGTTTGTTTCAACCAAAAAGATGTTGGCAGGAAAAGTATCCTACAGTATTTTAAAGAATTTTCTGAAAGTTGTATATAACCCTTTGATGTAATAATAGTTATCATAAGATAGAATTAGTGAGGTTGCTCTCCATCACTTTCCCTCCCAATCTCTCAGTTTCTGCCTTTCTATGGACAGGTGGGCATGCTTGCCCGCAGTCCCCTCTCATTTTTATTTTCTAAATAAAACAGACGTTATTAAATCTTTTGCAGAAAAAATAATGCCAGAAACTTTACTGTAAAAAAAGTAGTTACATTGGAGGCTGGCTCTTTGTCTTAGAATGTCCAAGCTTCCAAGTTGTTTTGATTAAAGCAACTGTAATTCCTTAGTCGGGAAGGACTAGTTAAAATAACCTTTAAAAAAAAATAGTTTATTTTGCAAAATTATTTTTTTTAAATCAAACTTTGCAAACATTTAAAATCTGAAACACCTGTTTCCTTTTGCCAATTTATCAATCTGGTAAACAGATTGATTACCGCTCCCATTGTCCCCTAATCCACACACACAGAGTTCTGGAAACTAATGGGTTTGTAGTCCAAAATCTCTCAGTGATGTTGAATAAGAGACAGCTTTATTTATTTCCAGAGGCATTGGAAGGAAACCTGACCCTGACTAAACATCCATAATGTCAATGCAATACTTGCCAAGTTTTATTAAATCTTCTCCAAAAAAGGCCAAATGGAAGACAGAATCAGACTGTGATTTATCCAGAGCAGGGAGTGGGAATTTGGGAGTTATCTGCTGTTAATAAAGAGAGTTGGAGCACAATGGTTTTCAAGTATGCATTTTATAAATAAGGATGTGGACAAGTAGCATGTGGACCAGTCAGTCCTGTAGAAAGTTAGCACCCACCGCAACCCTGGAAGAATGAAGTATTTTGAGAAATATTAAAAAGGCAGAATATTATATTTCTCTGAATAAGAAATGGAGAAACATGCTCTTGGAAAGCAGCCCCCACCTTCTTAATAGCCGACAACAGATGTCAGCACTTAAAAGATAAAGAGATAGATAGCCCTATTCATAAGCAAATGTCCTCACCCAAGATCCAACAAACATAGGATGAGCCCTCAGCCACAATAGGAATTGCCCAACGCCCCTTCATTGCATCACCCTCAGAAACTTATCAACCAAACTTATCTCAGACAAACGTCTAGGATTTGTACATGACCCCGAGTGAGTCTGACAACAGCCAATAGAATACATGTTCTTACACAGGAACAGGAACTTCAAGTGCAAAGTCCAAGAGAAGGTATAAATACTCCCTACTCTCAATTCCACATGGTCAGCTGCACCAGAACCATGTGCTTGGTGGTTTTGCTTCGTCATTAAATTTCAAATCAGCCATGTTTCTAGTGTCTCACCCCAGGCTTGGAACTGTACCAGATGGATATTTCTTTCAACAGTCTCAAATGTATTGGCCTTCCTAGATTTGGAACATGAAACCATCATTGGACCTTTGGTTGAATCAAGGATTGCAGTTCCTATGCTTGTAAAACATTTCAGTGGTGAATGGGTTGAAGATCTAAGTGCTAGAGCCCACTGCAACTACATAGCCAAAAAGGCATTAAGAGTTGTTAACCTAATCTTACGTAGCTTTTTCTCTGGTAATATCACACTACTAACTAGAGCATACAAAACATTTGCTAGACCAATACTCGAATACAGCTCATCAGTCTGGAACCCACATTACGTATCTGATATTAGCACAATTGAGAAAGTCCAGAAATATTTCACAAGAAGAGTTCTCCACTCCTCTACTCGTTGTAGAATACCTTATGCCACCAGACTTGAAATTCTAGAACTAGAAAACCTTGAATTACGCTGTCTTCGGTCTGATTTAAGCATGGTATATAAAATCATACATTGCAATGTCCTATCTGTCAATGAATACTTCAACTTCAACCATAACAACACAAGAGCACACAACAGATACAAACTCAAGGTTAACCGCACCAAGCTTGATTGCAGGAAATACGACTTCAGCAACAGAGTGGTCAATGTCTGGAATACTCTACCCGACTCTATAGTTTCTTCGCCAAACCCCAAAAACTTTAACCTTAGACTGTCTACTATTGACCTCACCCCTTTCCTAAGAGGTCTGTAGGGGGCGTGCATAAGTGCACCAACGTGCCTACCGTCCCTGTCCTATTGTTTCTTTTATTTTTCTTTTATTTTTCTTATATGTACCCATTTCATGTATTCATAACTATGTATACACTTATACTTATTATCTTGTAAACAATTGACAAATAAATAAATAAATAAAAATAAGATAGACAGAGTGGCTCCACTCTAGCTTAGCAACAGCCGGGCAATGAGGCTCTTTTGTCAGGATATGCCACTGAGAAATGGCATGTAGGTGGCCCCAAGTGTTCTTTCTTAATACCAAACACATTTCTCAAATGCAAAAGGGCAAAAGGGGAAAACAAATTCTCCTCTACCCAATTTTATAGGACACCCAGTGGTACTTAAGGCAAGTTAAGTTAAGCTCAGTTAAACCTGTGTTTTTCAAACTTAGTCAGTTTTAGAGCTGTGGACTTCAAGTCCCAGAATTCTGGCTGGCTGGGAAATTCTGGGAACTGAAGTCTATATATCTTAAAATTGCCAAGTTTGAAAAAGACGGGTTCAACTAATTCACTGGTGAATAGCTGGATTCACTGATGCTCCGTTTTGCCAATTCGGTGACAGTTTTACATTTTCCTGCATTTTGTGCCAAAGTTTTTGCAAGAGTGCAAATGGACCTAAATTTAATTTATGGATTTATATATTAGTTGATTTGCTTCTAAGATGCTTATTAAACAATTTCTTTTTTTAAATGCCAGCATGCCTCCAAGCTTGGGTGTTAGGAGGAATTTCCTAATGGTAAAAGCGGTTTGATCGTAGAATTAGAGCTCTGAGAGTTTGCCATCTTTGCTTCACTGGATATGTTCAATAGAGGCTGGAAGCAGCTGTTTGTGTCAGAAACTATGCCAATGCCAAGATAACAACAGGCGATTACAATGTATAAATGTCACAATTATATATTCGCTGTCAGACTTCCTTCAGTTTTGACTGGAAGCAAGGAATAAGAATTCAATCTTTATTTGAAGGAAGATAAAAATGATTAACATAAGTTCTCTAAATAAACATTATTTTCAAATAAGAAACAATTTAGAGCAACAAAACTCACTCTTCCCTGGGACCAGAGGTGGTATTCAGCAGGTTCTGACCAGTTCTGGAGAACCAGTAATGGAAATTTTGAGTAGTTCAGAGAACCGGCAAGTACCACCTCAGACTGGCCCCGCCCCCATCTATTCTCTGCCTCCCGAGTCCCAGCTGATCGTCGGGGTCTTCTTTCGTTGCCCTGCAGAGGAGAACGGAGCTGGAAAGCAGGTTAGTGAGGTGAGGAAGAAATGGAGATTTTGCAGTATCCTTCCCCTGCCAGGCCCACCAAGCCATGCCATGCCATGCCCACCAAGCCATGCCCACAGAACCGGTAGAAACATTTTTTGAATCCCACCACTGCCCTGGACCTTCCATACAGCAGACTGGCTGGCTCCATCTTTTGAGAAGGAAGGGTATCTTCCCTTACTCCATCAACTTAAGAGTTGATAGCTGTTTTAGCAGCATGAAAAATAACCCTCCTGCGTATGTCATGATGGCTGATATAATCAGCATATAAATAGCAACATTGGTGCAGTGACACTATAGGTAGTCCTCAACTTACGGCCACAATTGGGAGCAGAATTTCCGTTGTTAAACAAATGAGCCATGCCTGATTTTATACTTTTTTGCCATGGTTATCAAGCAAATCAGTCCAGTTCAATGAATCATGCGGTCGTTAAGCAAATCCAGCTTCCTCCACTGACTTTGCTTGTTGGATGTCAGCTGGGGAGGTTGCCAATGGCGACTGTGCGAGCCTCGGGCACTGCAACCCTCGTAAATATAGGTCAATTGCCAAGGACCAAAATGTTAATTGCATGACTGTGGGGATGCTGAGATGTAGGATTACCAGTTATAAATCACTTTTTTCAGTGTGTTGTAACTTCAAACAGTTGCTAAATGAATGAGTGTAAGCCGAGGACTACCTGTATTACATATGCATTTTGATTTGGGTCCCTGCACTCAGCAAGGTTGATTCTAAAGTGGTACAGTGTGTGTGTAGAGACAGTGAGAGAGACAGAGACAGAGAGGAAGGGAGAGACAGAGAGAGAGACAGGGACAGAGAGAGACAGAGAGAGAAAGAGGAAGGGAGAGAGTGAGAGAGACAGAGACAGAGAGAGAAAGAGACAGAGAGAAAGAGACAGAGAGACAGAAATGCAGAAAAATGCAGAAAAGAAAAACGATATTACACAAAAGAAGTAGCACCTGATTTTCTTTGCAGCAGTTACAAACAAGCTTATTTTCTCCCTCTCCCTTTAAATTTTTCATGCATATTTCTGCTGTCTTCATATTCAACCTTTTTTTAATTAACGGAAACAAAAATCACCCAGGTCATTTTAAACTGTTTTCAGCAAAATAAACAAATCATCAAAGCTTTTTAATCTTTGATGAAAGCACTTATTATTTTACACATGGTTAAACAAGTTTATTTTATATTCTTTCCTCCTAGGCAATCTTCCAATACCAAGTTTCCCAACCGTGGCAACTTTAAGATGTGCGGATTTCAACTCCCAGAATTCCCCAGCCAGCCATTCCTCATGCTGGCTGAAGAATTCTGGGAGTTGAAATCCTCACATTTTAAAGGTTGGGAAATCCTATTCTAATAGATCAGGGGTGTCAAACTTGCGGCCCTTGGGTCGGATGCATCACATGCTGGCCATGCCCACTCCCGGTTTAGCGGAGGGGGGGGGAAGGTGCGATACATCACATGACGCCACAATGCCATGAATTTGACACCCCTGTAATAGATGTTTGCTGGGCAAAGTTACCTTGGTGTTGAAGTATAGTTGTATAACTTGATCTTTTTGTTATCCCATCTTTCTCTTCTCCAGATACTCATTCTCCAGAAATCTCTTCAAGAGCCCCCTTCTGACTTTCCTTCTAATCAGATCCCCAGGGAAACTGAGAGGTTCCTGCTCATCTATCTCCGGGTGGCCACTTGGAACCAGATTCTCGATCCCTGGGTCTACATCCTCTTCCGCCGAGCAGTGCTGAGACGCATCTACCCCAGCTTCAGGCCCAGGCCTTCTATTGTCTCTCTGTACCCAGTGCTCAACCCCTCCCTACGGAAGAAATTTACTCAGGAATCTGTGTTGCAGTAGCAAGATCTTGTATTGAGCCAAAGAAGTCCAGCTCATAGGATTCCCCCTTTAACAGGGGCAAGAGCGCTCTGGATGGCTATGCTTTACCGGTAGTCCTCGACTTACAAACAACAATTAGGGCCAAAATTTCCATTGCTATGGAAGACAGTGAGTTGTTTTGCCCCATTTTATGATGCTTCTTGCCACAGTTGTTAAGCGAATCACCGTACTTGTTCAATTAGCAACACAGTTAAGTGAAATCTGGCTTCCCCACTGACTTTGCCTGTCAGAAAGTCATAAAAGAAGTCGTATGGTCCTGGGACACTACAACCGACATAAATACATGCCGGTTGCCAAGTAACCTTTATCATGTGCCCATGGGGATGCTGCAGTGGTTGTATAAGTGTGAAAAATGATCGTAAATCATTTTTTTCAGTGCCACTGTAACATTGAACAGTCACTAAACAAATTGTTGTAAGTCGAGGATTACCTGAACTATACCTATACTGCTTGATAGTTTGCATTGTACTAAAGGTCCTGGCAGTGTACTATGACTTTTCTCTAAGCTACAATATAAATATAAGGCCCGTGGTTAGAATGCAGTATTGCAGGCTACAACTGCCGGCTGCCTTGCAATTCGGCAGTTCGAATCTCACCAGGGCTCAAGGTTGACTCAGCCTTCCATCCTTTCGAGGTTGATAAAATGAGGACCCAGATTGTTGCGGGCAATACGCTGACTCTGTAAACTGCTTAGGGAAGGCTATAAAGCATTATGAAGGGGTATATAAGTCTAAGTGCTATTGCTATTGCTAAAGTTCTGAGTAATGAACCCAACCAATCCAGCCACTCTGAGACTTTCGGCTTTCTCAAAGAACTGCTTTATTGAGTACATCATATCGGCACTTTTGAAATGCAAAACCAGCTCTGGTTATTTCTCATGCTTTCAGTATAGTTAAAGCATAGGCAGCCCCCTCCCTTCTTGTCACGAAGTCACACTGTCCAGTGAGGTGTCCTGGAGTCTCCTTGGTAACCTCTTCCAGTCTCTGGCCAGCACCTGTTGGGATGACCTTGGTTCCCATGAGATAGTTAGGTGTTGATGTCATGCCTGACATTCTCCTTCCTCCCCACCCCAAAGGGCATCAAGCTGAGAAACAGAGAAAATGGCTGTGACAGGCCCGATCCGTTTCAAAATGGACAGCTATTCCATTGGATGTGGCCTTTCGGCTCCACAGGCTCCTGCCATGGTACAACCCATAGCCCCAAATGTAGCATGTAGCTTCACATTGGAATCTTTCTGAGAGTAGGAAAGACAGTGCCTCAGAATGGAAGAAAGGCAGGAAGATACAAGTAGGCCTTAAATTACAGCTGGTTGCTTAGCAACCATTTGAAGTAATTGTCAGGCTCAATTATGGTTGTAATTCAAGGATTACCTGTAGTTTGGCAACCTGACACAGATGAAGAGAAGGAGCCAGTTTTTAAGCACGAAGTTGGTTGATGGGGAAATTGATCCCTAGTGGGACTTCAGAGGAGAAGACTAAATTGCAGGATGACCAGGGCAATTCAAAATGCATGGATTTATTCAAAATAAATGATTGTTGCAGTAATAAATCCTGTGGCAGTATACCATATACTTGTGTTAGTCATCTTTTGGATCCTTTCATTATCCTAGCAAGCTGGATTTCAAAGCATTGGAAAATTACTGTGGATATTTCAAGTTTAGTTTGCCCCAAGCAATCCCTATATCCAGATTGAAGCAAATGAGTTCAGCTAGCAAAAAAATTAAAAGGTTGGTGTTTATTTGTTAAACATCAGCTAAAATTTATATATAAGCCAGCCAGCTGATCTATCTATCTATCTATCTATCTATCTATCTATCTATCTATCTATCTATCTATCTATCATCTATCTATTTTTTGAGGTTCTCACGGGTATTTGTATGTGGATCTTTGGTTGTTCGGGTTTTCTCCCGTGTAAGATTCGAAGTATCTAGGCAACGTTTCGATGAAGTCTCATTCATCATCTTCAGGCTTCTGTCTTCATACATACATACATACATACATAAAAATGCCTCAGCTGGCTGGCCAAGCCAGGATAAAAGGCAACTAAATGCTGGAAGAAAGAAAAACACGAGCAATATGTCTATGGAGAATCTCAGTCTCATCCAGGTCATGGTTGTCCCAAAGGTGCTTTTTCAAAAGGCAACTGGACTTTCTGGTTTTCCTTTGAAGACGTTTTTGCTTCTCATCCAAGAAGCCTCTTCAACTCTGAGCAACAGGCAAGAATTTACCTGATCTACATAAATATCTATATATATTCACAAGCATAGATGTTTCAAAGGAACTAGAATACTGTAAGTCAGTGGTTCCCAAAGTGGGCAGTACCATCCCGTGGGGGGCGGTGGGATGCCTTAGTGGGGCGCTGAGAGGCAAGGGGGCCGGCAAGGGAGCGCTAAGAGGTGGCATGGGGGCGGCAGGGAACAATTCAGGGGTGAGAAAAAATCCCGCCGCTGCGTTCGAGGCAAGGCCCCGCAGGATCATCCCATTGACTTGCACGCTCCGGTGCAAGGAGCTCCGCCCTGAATGCAGTGTTGGGAAAGGAGAGCAAAGCCAGAGTAGCTTTGCTGTCCTTTTCAAATATCCCGCCGCCGCCGTGCGGGGCAGCGCCCCAAACGCAGCGTTGGGAAAGGAGAGTGGCTTTGCTCTCCTTTTCAAACACCCCACCACTGCCGCATTCCACCCCATTGAGCCCCTTGCACTGGAGGCACCTCCCCAAGCAAGTCCGAACGGAGCGGTGCACGAAGTCAATGGGGTGAGCCTGAGAGAGGGAAAGAGAGAGAGGAGAGAGAGAGAGAGAGAGAGAGAGAGAGAGAAGGAAGAAGAGAAAGAGAAAAGGGAAAGAAAAAGGGACAAAGAAAGAGGAGGGGATGGAAGGAAGGGACAGAAAGAAAAAGAAATAAAGAAGGAGGGAGGAGAAATATAAGGAGATATCTATTCTAGTCCAATCACCTGCTCCAGCAGGGTTAGAAGGGAGGGAGTGTGTGTGTGTGTGTGTGTTCTTGTAATTTACCAATACATTTTGGTTTTGCCTTCTTCAGAATTGGCACTGTAATACACTGGGGAAAAGTATTTTTTCAGGGTGGGGATCTGATCAAATGGATCCTGTTTAAAGCCTCAACAAAATCTGAGAGCTTCCTGATAGTCTTGGCCATGTTTCGTCCACAAAACCTTTAGTTAATAGAAGCCAAAGATGTTTCAATGTCCTTGCAAAGATGCTGGCAAAGATGTTTCAATGTGGAAAATGGCCTGTGGATGCATCAGCTCTCTCTCGCTCTCTCTCTCTGCCCCTTCATCCCTTCATGCCCCCCCTTTGTTATCCCTTTTTCTTTCTTTCCCTTTTCTCTTTCTTTTCTTCCTTCTCTCTTTCTCTTTTCTCTCTCTCTCTTTCTCTCTCCCAGGCTCACCCCATTGATTTGGTGCACCGCTTTGCTTGGACTTGCTTGGGCAGGTCCCTCCAGTGCAGCAGGCTCAATGGGGTGGACCTGCGGGGCCGGCACCTAGAACGCGGCAGTGCCAGCATGTTTGAAAAGTAGAGCAAAGCCAGAGCTCAGTAATTTTTGCTGCAAAGAATCACAAAAGCTTCTAGGTTGTGCACAAGAAGGAACACACATGTCAATGCAATTCAGCAGCATAAAATAAAGAAATACAAATAAAACAAATCAACAAGAATCGGCAAAACATCTCTGATTAGATTTTATTCACTACTAGAATCTAATCAGAGATGCTTTGCCGATTCTAGTCCAATGACCTGCTCCAGCAGGATTAGAAGGGAGTATGTATATATGCGTGTGCGTGGTTGTCAAAACTCCAAAAACAAGAAGGTCTGGGGAGGCCAGTCATAAATTAGAACACTTGATAAGCAACTGGCCATTAAGTGAGGGCCACTTGTATTTGGTTTGCCAGTCACCAAATCATGCTCACCCAGCCATGTGACCAGCAAGCCATGCCACCAGTTATGTGACCAGCAAGCCACGCCTACTCAGTCATGTGACCAGCAAGCCATGCCCACCCAATTACGTCACCAGCAAACCACACCCTCAAATTAGGCCATGCCCATAGAAATTTGAATCCCGCCCCTGGGTGGGGGGCATTGAGGATGAGTTTATAGCACCAAGGGGGCGGTGGACTGAAAAAGTTTAGGAACCACTGCTGTAAAATCAAGGTGTCTAAACTTGGCAACTTTAAGGCTTATGAATTTCAACTCCCAGAATTCCCCAGCCAGCCATGTAGGGAGTAAACGTTTGGCTATTCCAGGCCTAATCCCTTTATGAACATAATAAAGCAAAATAGAGATGGAAAGAAGAACAAGAGGTGATCCCTCCTGCATTCTGTACCTTAAAGGAAACATTTTGGTGCATGTGGATGATATACCCCAGAAAAAGAAACTTTAGAAGCTTCAAGGTAAAGCTATTTCAGGTTCCCCTCTCCTCTTAATGGAGTTTGGAGAAAGAATAGCTGTCAAAGAAGTGTCCAGAAGTATTCAGAGAGTTATAAATGGCAGGTATATTTTGGAATCCTTCATAAATTCCACCTAGGATGCAGAGGAACTTAAAAGTATCCAGCAGTATTAATAATAAATTGCAAATACTGTAAAGAGTCAGCTGTACAGTGCTTAAACAGTAAACATGAATGTTTTGTTATTATGATTTAAAAATCTAGTTTTCAAAGGCTTCATCATCCACATGGCCCATGAACCATGGCATGGATGTGGCCCAATAGTTCCTTTTGTCTGCTCTGATTTTATGCTGTTTGTCTCTTAGCTAGTCACAATTGAGGAACTAGTTGCTCCAGTTTTAAAGTAGGGTTTGTTCTTTTCTCCCAATGCTGTTGGGTCTTATGTAGGCCCCTTATATCCATGGGTTTAATGCTATTATGAAAAAAATGCTAGACTTGCATTTATAAAGTAGATTGTGGAGTCCGTTGTGTTCCCTAAATTTGGTTGTTTGCTTGTAGATGTCTCACTTAGGGCACTGATGATGTTACCTAGTTGGGTAATGAAATGTCTGCAAGCAGAGGAAAATTAAGCAAATCTCATTTCACGATGTACGTTAATGAAATCCTGGAAAAGAAGCGGTTTTTAAAAATATTTTTAATTATTTCAAAAAACAAACTGGCAGGCATAAACAAAATTGCATATAAAACACAAACACAATTATCGTGTCGAAGTGGGTAAGAGGATTATACATATTGTGCACAAAAAAGGAGTATGAAATAGCTTAGTAATGAAAGTAATGGCAGAAGATGAGAAAAAGGAAACATAGTGAAAACAACACGTGTTACAACAACACATCCTCCATACCTTTTTATTTATTTATTTATTTTTATTTGTCAATTGCTTCCTATCCTCACAAATCATCCTTTTTCCCAGAGCACTTCATAAACCACCTTTTTTTTCTTTAATTTTTTCAACTCCCTTTTTTTGGGGATCTCAGCAAGGCCAGCTCATCACCCAATTCTCGGGTCCTTCAGTTTGATTCATTCTTCCATCTTCATTCATTCACTCCTCATTAAATGACTAAACCACTTCAATGTGATTCTTATATCCTGATTGCTCCCCTTGGTATCCTCAGTCATTCCGAACCCATTCATTCTTGCCACATGTTCATATGACAAAATAAAGATAGTCCTTGACTTACAACCATTCAATTAGTGACTGTTTGAAGTTAGGATGGCATTGAAAAAAGTAGCTTATGACCCTTTTTTACACTTAACAATCTTTGCAGCATCCCCATGGACACGTGATCAACATTCAGATACTCGGCAACTGGCAGAGGATGAGACATATTTGTGATGACCCAGGGTGGGATACAAAATAAATACAGTCACAAAAAACAGGTGAAGCCCCTTTTATTCCTTCACTTTGCTTCCAAAGTTCCAAATATCCTTGACTGGAGACAAAAAAATCCCACATGAGCAGTTACCAGAAGGAGGAAATGCCATTTTAAATGAGTAAAAGAGTAAAAAGCAACACAAACCAGGCGAGATAAGGGCTGGAGGGCGTCCACAGATAACAGAACACACACTGGGAAGGACGCCAAACTCAGAGAGGAACCATAAACTAGAGATATTTCCATGCTTTGTTTCCAGCACTCACCCATACGCATGTCCGTCCTCTTATTCAGTTGTCACAGCTGCAGCCCATGAAGAGGATCAAGGCCCTCTCCTCCTGAATAGACCACGTCTCTCCCTTATCCTCTCCTCCCTGCGTGCCTTAGGATGGAGAGGGGATGGGCTTGGGTCCTCCTCTGACTGCCCAGCCAGCCTCTGCCCTTCCTCAGCCTCCTCCACAATCTCCAGAGCCACACTTCCACTCTCTGTCAGCTGTTCCTCCACTCCCTCAGAGTCAGTCTCCACCAGAGGCATGACATATTTATGACCCCCATTTAAAATGGCCCCATTTTATAACCTTTCTTGCCTCCATTGTTAAGTGAATCTGACTTCCCCATTGGTTTTGCTTGTCAGAAGGTCGCAAAAAGTGATCACATGATCTTGGGACACAGCAACGGTCATAAATATGAACCAGTTGCCAAGCATCTGAATTTTGATCACATGATCATAGGGGATGCTGGAAAGGTCATAAGTGTGAAAAATGGTCATAAGTCACTTTTTTCAGTGCCGTTGTAACTTTGAACGGTCACTAAATGAACTATTGTAAGTTGAGGACTACCTGTAAAATGTTTTGCTTAGTAACATTTTGGGTTCAGTAGTTGTCATAAGTCAGGAGCTACCTATATTCCTTTCAACTTTAGGTGTCTTCTAATACACCCTTCTCACTTCCATATAACCAAGTGGAATACGGTTAGTTCTTGACTTACGACCACAAACTGAGTCCAAAAAGCAGACTTACATATAGAGTCATTTCTATTTCTTTTATCCAAGATAGAGGTAAACATCCTAACAATGAAACTCTTGCAAAGAAACAACCAAGCTCAGAGAGCAACAAGGATGACCATAGTTCAACCCTGAGCTACAAATACTCTCTTCCATTAATACTAACAATTAATCCTAAGGTGATCTCTCTTTGCTTGCATATATTCAAGCAGAAGTTAATTAACTATGAGTTGGAAAGGCATCTCTGCATAGTGAAAGGAGGTTATCCATTCCAACTCTATGAACGATTCTGTAAAATGATTGGACTGAATAGCCCAGTTATTCTCTAGAGGCTTCTTGAAACTAATTAGGACCAACTGAAATTTTCTATGCAGGGTGAAGATTGCTTTTGTTCCAAATGGGTTTTGAAAATGACAACAGTATATGTTATATTTTGGGCAAAATCCATCAAAGGGTAGGTGAGGAACCTTGCTTTCCTCAAGAGCAGAGGTGTCCAACTGGTGGCTCACAGGCCGAGTGCATCATGCACTGGCCACCCCAGCTCCGCGAAGGGAAAAACTGTCACAATACATCATGTGATGGCGACGTGATGCTGCGAGTTTCACACCCATGCTCAAGAGCCTGGTCTTTGGAAGAGATTTATCTTTTTAAAAATCAAGCACCAACTACAAAAAAATTACATAAGAAATCAACTGTATCCTCAGGGAATGGTTAAAAAATCAAGACAGCAGTTGCAACTGTGGGATTGAAATCCCCATTTTTAATGGGTTAGGTTTAGGGTGTTGCATGAGTCATATTATCGTGGCTGTCCTCTTGACTTCCTTCACTAGGCCCTGCTGAAACCACTGTGAAGACTGATGGTTCAAATCCTTTCCAGTTACAAAACTGGACTAAAAATTTAATAGAAGCCTGAAATTGCAATGTGGTGGGTAGCCAAGAAGCAGTGTGTCTCCTAGCATTCTCCTATCTATTCTGCAATTATAAGGAGTGCAACTTAAACATCTTAACCAGAGAAGATGCCATCCTGACTTGTTAATGTGGACTTTCAGGGGAACAATTGTATTTTGGGATACTACTGGAAGAAGATCTAATATAGATGCTAATTAGAAGTAACCACCCACACGGTAGTATCTCTCTGTTCCCTCCATATAAGCAAGTTCCTTCCACCCCAACAGGAGAGCATGTGTTCAATGGTGCTACTATTTGAAGTCACCCCTGTTAATTTTTTGCAAAGGTGTCAGCCTTGAGCCATGGGTGATAATTCTGGATGGAAATCCCAGATGTGGATGTCAGTGTGCGCAAGATACGGAGAATTTGGAGAGCAGAGAAAAAGAGGGAAAGGGTGAGCAGGGTGGCAAGGAAAAGAAACAGCCTTCAATGCCCAACCCACCTCCTGAAACTACTCCGAGATTCCCCTGCTCTTGCAAACTGCAGTCCACACCTCTGAGACAAACTCTTCCGGGAAGGCAAATTCACCCAGGAGCAAATCCAGTCTGCGAGCAAAGTCTTCGGGGCTCTGGCATTCTTTGGTGATCTCCACCATGCTCGAGGCTGCGGAAAATGAGCCTGAGGTTAGGATGCAGCACTGGGATAAAACATCATTTGGAGCATATTTGGACATGTTCTGGGGTGCATTCATAAAAAGGCTGCTAGGGAGGGCTGGGCCTGTGGTGGGGACACCCAATTGAAGACGAGGTATACTGTGGGGTATTGTTCAGCGTCTCAGTGAGAGCCCAAGGATCCCACAGGTACTCCTGCAAATAAAGGTTTGTGGCAGGCTCGCTACTCAGTTAATTCAATAATTACCCAGGATCCTTGTTTGATTATTAATTTAATCAAGAAGCCTAATGGATACCAATCTGGTGGACGGTCCACCAGTTCCATCTCCTTAAATTCAATGGTGGAGATGGGAAGCACATGGGTATCCAATAGTGCCATGTTGCCTACTTCTGATATCGTTTTAGACAAGATTAAGGGAATTTCATAACCTAAAGAACCCCGTCTAAGACAGTTCTCTTTATCTCTCTTTAATTGTTAGCTTCATTTCACAGGAAAACATGTACGAATTGTCCTGCTGTATCAAACTGAAAATCCATCTTCCTCAATAGTTATCCAGATTCAGCACCCTTCTCTACAGTGGTGTTTTTTCAATCTTGGCGCCTTTAAGATATGGCAGACTTCAACTTTCAGAATTCCCTAGCCAACTGGCTAGGGTATTCTGGGAGTTGAAGTCCGCACATTTTAAAGTTGCCAAGGTTGAGAAACACTATTCTACAATAAAATTCCTCAAATCTGGAATCTGAGGCAGGCTGTCTCCCAATCTGGAAGTCTCACCCAGGCAGTAGTGAGGGCAAGGTGAAAGGAATCGTCACATTTTTTTTTCAATCATATCATGTGTCATTCCCTACTCACCCAATTCGAGGTCACGTATACCCATGTAGCTTTCCAATAAGTCATCCATCTTTTCAGCAGCTTCCTCCTCAAACTCACTTGGCTGTGAAGAAAAGAAAGAAGGAGATCAAATGGAACTGAAATGCCAGGGTTGACAGGAAATTCTTGGAGTGTTTCTCAACCTTGGCGACTTTCAGACATGTGGAGTTCAACTCCCAGAATTCCCCAGACAGCCAAGATGGTTGGGGAATTTTGGGAGTTGAAGTCCACACATCTTCAAACCACCAAGGATGAGAAACAGTGGGGTGCACAACAGTTCAGAAGCAATGAAATTTGGTGCCTTCTCATGATCTTTCAGAGGCTTCTCCTGTTACAACTGGCTAGGCATCTAACAGGTATTTTACTGAGGTTAGCCCTGAGACAATCAGCTCACTTCCAACCAACCACCAAGTTTCTTATATACAGTAATGTGAGAATATGGGCACCTGGTTAATCCGATCCCTGTCCCAGAGCATACTCACAGCCTGCTCTATGGTAGCAGTGCCTGTTGCACGCAGCCGTAGTGTCTCCCTTCCACTGCCTATTTTCCCCTCACTTGAGCTCTTGCTGCTTCGTGTCCTCTGGCTGATCATATCTACAGAGGGGAGGAGAAAAGAAGACAAAGAACTCAACATCTGGTTCAAAGACAGTGGACATAACAGAAGATGTTTGAGCACAAGCAAACTTTCAACAGAACGAAAAAGTTACAGAATTCACTTTTTTTTTTGCTAGAACCCCTTGAAATTCATAAACAATTGTGTAAAATAGAAAAGGGGGGTGGCTTGAAGACTAGAGGCAGTTGATTAGTACACCTTGTAAGGCATCTACTAGGAGAAGAATGCCATTCCTTTGGGCCATAACTGGAATTTAGGGAGCGTGTTATGGACACATCGACAAAAGGCCAGTTATGGGATGCAGCCATCCACATGTTATTTGCTAAGAAGTCTTCTGAGATCAGTTAGGCGATGCTCTCATACACATATGTATTATGCTAACACTTTTGTAGCTTGCTTATCTCTCCTTTAATTTTTTCAAATTAAACACATCTTTAAAAAATTAAAAATCAGATAAGGCACAGAGCCATGTCAAGAATCGAGAAATTAGAATGACAGTCATAGGCAGTTCTCAAGCCCTTATACAAAAGTTCAAATGGTAGGATTATTGGGTCAAACTGAATGAATGACTGAAGATAGGAAATGATAGATGAGGAAGAGGAGGAGGAAGAGGAGGAGGATGAAGATGATGATGATGATACAAAGGTGGCACCAGAATAGAGACAAAGTAATAGAAAAGGAGCTAAAGTGCTCTGGAATTCAAACAGACAAGCACCTGCTACATAATACTCCAGACTTAACAATTGTTGATAAAAAAGACAAAACAATCTGGATAGTGGATGTGGCAGTACTTAGAAATAGTAGAAGAGAAGAGAAAGAACTGGAGAAAATAATAAAATTCAAAGACAGGTGAATAAAACGACTGTAGCAAAAGAAACAAAAATAGAATAAATAGTGAGAGGCACCTTTGGTGCCATCCCAAATGTTCGATGGGTCCGCGTGTAAAGGAGAGGCAGGACACAGTGGGAACTGTAAGATGAGTTTATTTCAAAGTTGGTGTAAAAAAGTGCCGCTTCCGCCGAAGGCTCTGGCTTTTATAGCTAGAGCTGTCCAAAGTTTCAGCCACTGACGGGACTTCATTTTTCCTGCCAGTGGCTGGACCAATGAGTGGAGTCTATTAGTCGACTCCACTCCTTGGCCATATTTGGTCATATACAACAACCCTCCCCTCTTAGTCAGTGTTCCTCCAATCAGCTCTCACCTATGGTACGTGGTCACATAAGTAGGCAGGGCTTTGAGGGGTGCGACTGGACCTGCACACCTCACTTGCACCTGGGGCAGCGGCCCGAGCAGACGGGTCTGCCACTGCTCCGATCCCCACCAGTGGAACCATCTCGAAACTTTCCTCTGGCATGGCAGGGACCGTCGAGCCTGAGGCCTCAGAAGGATACCACAGGACTCCCTCTTTGTAAGATAAGTGTCTCCGCCGTAGTTGCTCAGGGGTTGGAATCTGCGGGGTTGGTGTTTGTGATCTGTGTTGTTCTGTGTTTGCGTGTCAGGTGTTTGGCTGGTTGTCTGAGACCGGGACCCGGTCCCGTAGTTGATTGATGTGCCATTCCCATAGTCTCCCTTCATCTGTTTCTAATCTGTAGGAGTGGGGCCCTGTGGTTTTGATTACCCTAGCTGGCACCCACGTTGGTCCCCCAGTGTAACTGTGAGCGTAGACTGGGTCCCCTATGGTGAATTGACTGCATCTCCTGGTGGAATCCGGGGGTTTCTCTGTGCTGTAGTTGGGATGGACATGGTCTAGCATAGTCTGCAGTCTCCGAGACATTAACAGTTCTGCTGGGCTGCATTGTGTTGTAATGTGGGGTGTAATATGTTGGACTAGGAGCATTCTGTCAATTCTTTCCTGCCAGTCCCCTTGGCCCATTCGCTGTAGTGTTTCCTTCATGGACTGAACCATGATCTCTGCTTGGCCATTCATGGCCGAGTGAGCTGGCGCTGATAGCATGTGTTGGATCGCCAGTCCAGCTAGGAAAGCCTCAAATGGCTGCGAGGTGAACTGTGGCCTGTTGTCTGAAATTAGGACATCTGGTAGCCCGTAGGTGGCAAATAGGCATCAGAGTGCTCTTATTGTTGCCTCTGATGTGATGGATTTCATTAATATTACTTCCAGCCACTTTGAGTATGCGTCAACAACTATGAGGAATGTTTGCATTCCTTTGCAGTGTCCTGCAAAGTCGATGTGTATTCTGGCCCATGGTGTTCTAGGTGTCTCCCACTTCCTGGGTTTTACAGCTGGGGGTGCCGGCCTGGTCTCTTGGCAGGGAGTGCACATGGCGACCCATGTCTCTATTTTCTTGTCCAGCCCCAGCTACCATACGTAGCTCCTGGCTAGGGATTTCATTCGGACTATTCCAGGGTGGCCCTCATGAAGTATTTCTAATATTTTGTTTCTTGTGGTGGGGGATAACTACCCGGTCCCCCCACAGTAGACAGCCCTTTAAAACCGATAGTTCAGCTTGTCTATTTTGGTATGATTTGTATTCCTTCCCTTGGGCTGCCTCCAGCCATCCCCTCCACACCCAGTTCGAAATCTGTGCCATAGTTTTGTCACGAGCAGTGAACCTCACGATCTCTGAGGACATCATCATTCCGGCCATAAGTTCTCTATTAGCAGAACTGTCGTGGATGGTGCTGGGTCTTCAGCTGTGTCTGGGAGAGGGCAATGGCTGAGGGCGTCAGTGTGAGCGATGTCTTTCCCTGGCCTGTGGAGTACGCAGTAGCTGTATGCTGCCAGGAATACTGTCCATCTCAACATCCTGGGTGACACGATGTTCGGTGTGGGTTTGTCGCCGGAGAGGATGCCCAGTAAAGGTTTATGATCAGTGATTAGGTCGAACTGCTTGCCATACAGGTATTCAACTGCGGTAAGTGCTTCCTTGTTGATCTGGCTGTAATTTCTTTGTGTCTTTGATAGTGTTTTTGAGAAACGATGGGGGCGATGGGGGCTTCAGTCCATCCAAGAGTGTTGCTTCTACATCCTTGGAAGCGCCATACAGTTCATTAAGACTTTTCCATGGTAACTGTAGGGCAGTAGCTGGGTCATCTAAGTGGGATGCCAAAAGTGCCCTCGGTATTTCGGCAGACTGTGGCCCTAGCCATGCTATCAAAAGAGAGGTAGGACACAGCGGGAACTGTAAAATGAGTTTATTTCAAAGTTGGTGTAAAAAAGTGCCGCTTCTGCAGCAGGCGCCGGCTTTTATAGCTGGCGCTGTCCAAAGCTTCAGCCACTGATGGGACTTCGTTTTTCCCGCCAGTGGCTGGGCCAATGACTGGACCAAACATCTGGAACACCTCTTAAACATCACCAGCATTGACAAACTGAACATCAGTTAATTTCAAATGGCTGCTTTACTTGTAATGGCTTACATCCTATGAGATACCTTTAACACCATCAAACTACAACATCCCAGATCCTTGGAAAGGACTAAAATAATAGATGGACAAAAATGCAAAATCCCATCTAAACATCTGGCTGACTATGCAATGAACAATAATGACTTTAATTCTTAAAGTGCCTTTTTTTTTTTTGAAAGATAGCAACTTATATCAAGGCATTGTGTCACATTTTATAGGTGGATTAGTCTGAGGCTTGCTAGGGTGTTTTAAAAAGTACTATGAGCTGGACCTTCCATTGGGGAGGTCATTACGACGTGAAGTTCTTTTGTATGTGTAATACTTTTAAAAAAGAAATGGGGCTTCAACCACACAGTCACAGCAACCATTTTGATTTTTATATATCCTGCCTGGACACCCTTTGCTCTGGGTTATTCAATCTTTTCTTCCCTAAAAGGAAAAAAATGCACAAAAAATCAAGGACAAATCTGAAAGGATTCCAAATTGAGCATGGAGGTATCAGGAGGACACAATAGTCCCCTGTGAAAGAGTTGAAACATAAATACATGCCAATTGCCAAGTGCCTGAATTTTGATCATTATGAACCTCATGCTGCAACAGTTGTGTGAAAACCAGTCATAAATCACTTTATTCAGTGTCATTGTAGCTTCAGTCACTAGACAAATAGTTTTAATGTCTGTACACATTTTCCTCACAGAAATGGAGAACTTTTAACCATACAGCTCTGAGCATCCTACACTATGGGCCATGTTGGCTATCACTCTTGGACGCAGTTATCTGCCCATATTCGGGGAGTCCAGATTCCCATGCCAACCTCTTTTCATTTTAGCAGACTAAATTAGAAATGAAAACAAGAGGATTTCTTTTCTTTTCTTTTTGGCTTTTCGCAACAGGGAATTGACTTCAACCTAGCAGCAGTCTGAGATCCCAAGCCATATTTTTAATCAAAGCTGAATTAAATGAACTGTATGGCTGTAGCATGCCTTGTTAAAATTCCTGGTATGCAATCTGGGAATTGTTCTCATCTGTGACATTCTTTCAAAATGGCCGGTGAAACAGTTCTGCTGATTATCATTTCATAAGGTTACAATATACATCAGCTGCTCCTTAGCTCAAGCTCCTTGGGGAGCTGATAATATTTAGAATTTCCATAAGACAGCAACCTGTTTTCCAAACTGTAAGAAGGGTGATTTTCTACCCTTGATCTGATTTCCTCGTGTGCTAGATAAAAATAAATCTAGCTAGATAAAAATAAAAAGAAGAGAAAGGGAGGGAGGAGGAGATGAAAACTAGGGAAAATGAAGAGAGAAGCCAGGAGAGGCTTTAACTGAGACTGGATTTTTATAATATAATCTGGAACAGTTAAAACAATTAAAATTAAACAATTTTAAGGAAATCCAAAGTTCGAAAGAACGTACGAATATAGGAGAAAATAATTCCGAACAACAAAAATCAAAGCAGCAAATAAAAATGAAGACTAAAGCAAAAAAAAAAAAGTATTTCCAGCCTCAAATAATTAAACAAACGAACAATGCAAGGGGTCAACTCTTTGGGGGAGCTTTTCATAATCTTGGTGCCACTGTAGAGAAGACCCTGTCCCTTGCTTTCACCAATTTATCCACTGTTGGGGATGGGCTATATAGCAAAGAACCCCTGAAATAGATCTTAAATTACAGCAAGATTAACATGGGAAAAAGAGGGTTATTCAGATACTTAAAAACCGTTTGGATTCTACAGATAAGAACTACTAGCATTATGAACTGAGAGTCTGAGACCAAAAGCAAAATGGCAACCATTACAACTGATGTCTTTGAGACAGAATTGCTGATTAAGTAAGATGAGTACAGGTAGTCCTCGGCTACAACCATTTCTTTAGTGACCGTTCAAAGTTACAACATCACTGGAAAAAAGCGACTTATGACTGTTTTTTACACTTACAGCCATTGCAACATCCCCATGGTGACGTGATCAAAATTCAGATGCATGGCAACTGGCATGTATTCATGACGGTTGCAACGTCCCAACGTCACAGGATCACCTTTTGGGACCTTCTGACAAGCTATCTCCACAACAGGTGGTCTATCTATCTATAGAGACTGGATTCTCCATCTTGGAAGGTTTTTAAGAAAGCCCTTCACAGGAGATTTGATTGGTTTTCTTGCAGGTTGGTTGCAGAGGGCTGAACTAGATCAGTGGTGGCTAACCTTTTTGGGCTCCTGTGCCAAAAATTGTGCATGCTCGCATGCCAGCACCTAGAAGGCAATGCGTGCGTGGGGGCCCCACGCCCCCTATGCATGTGCAAGCACACTGCACGCCTCTGCGCATGCGCATAACCCCCCATGCGCCCTGCGCATCTCTGCACATGCACGTGTGTCTCCTGCACCCAGGGGTGGATTCAAATTTTTTAACAAGCGGTTCTGTGGGCGTGGCTTAGTTGGTGGGCATAGCTTGGTGATCATGTGACTGGGTGGACATGGCTTAGTAGTCATGTTACTGGCTGGGCATGGCCAACTTAACATCATTCACATCGAGGCACGCATCTCCTCGCCTGGCCTCTCATGACTGTGGGGATGCTGCAACAGTTGTAAGTGTGAAAAACGGTCTTAAGTCACTTTTTTCAATGGTCACTCCACACAAGTAAAGTACCAGCAAAGGAGGGGAAAAAAAACTGGAGAGGTTCCTGAGACAGGAAGTCTAGTCCTGCCAAGAATATAATAAGGGTTAACTGAGAGGCAGTTTCTGTAAGCAACACCAGAATGTTTCCTTCCTGCCTTCCTTGCAGGATTAGGCTGGGAATTTCTTCTAACAACCAGTTCTCTGAACTGCTTAGAATGTTAACAACTGGTTCTAGTGAATAGGTGCAAACTGGTAGAATTCCACCCCTGCCTGCACCCCCCATCCCCTGCGCATGTGCACCAGATACCCAACAATCAGCTGTTGGGTGGGCAACCCACACGCATGCACAGTGGGGCTCTTCTGGGTGACCTCTCACGTGCCAGCAGAAGTGGCTCTGCATGCCACTTCCAGCATGGGTGCCATAGGTTCGCCATCATGGAACTAAATGATCCCTGAGGTCCTTTCCAAATCTACAGGTTTATTATTACATAATTCATTCTGTATAACTCTTCCAAACCTGTCAGCCCAGCCAATCAGCAAAAGTCCAAGACAAAGCAAGAGTAAGTATGATTATAATTCCTCCTTTATAGCTTGTGACAAACATTGGCCTCTTTCTGAACATGGATCTGATGCTCTTTTGAGAGGGTGCTTAACCCATGTCCAAAAGAACCTGGAGAAAGGCTGCAGATATGGAGAAGGTTTTAAGAAGAAGCTGAAGACTCTCTCTCTGTACCTCACATCTATTGGACAATTTTACAAGTGACTAAACTTGCTGTTCATCAAATCCATCAACATTGGGATCAACCATGCATTAAAGAGAGGGATTAGTAATTAGAATAAAATAGAATAACAGAATTGGAAAGTCTTCTAGTCCACCCCCCTGCCTAGGCAGGAAAACATATACCACTTCAGACAAATGGTTATCCAACATATTTTTTAAAACTTCCAGTGTTGGAACATTCACAATTTCTGGAGGCAATTTGTTCCACTGATTAATTGTTCTAACTGTCAGGAAATTTCTCCTTAGTTCTAGGTTGCTTCTCCCCATGATTAGTTTCCATCCATTGCTACTTGTCCTGCCCTCAGGTGCTTTGGATAATAGCTTGACTCCCTCTTCTTTGGGGCAGCCCCTGAGATATTGGAACATTGCTATCATGTCTCCCCTAGTCCTTCTTTTCATTAGACTAGACATACCCAGTTCCTGCAACTGCTCTTCATATGTTTTAGCCTCCAAAAATTGTTTTCGTTTCTGGCAGAAATGCTCAGCAGGAAGGAAAAAGCAACCAGGAGAATCCACAAATCATTTCCTTAGCTTCTTCCATACAAAAATTATAAGGACAATGCCATTTGTACTCAATGAAGCTGAGAAAGCCTTGACCATCAAGAGAGAAAAACAATATTTTATGCATTTATTTTTGCTAGCTCAAGAAATATTGGAGGGTACTTTAAAGTGACCGACTGGCTGTTCCTCAATGATGCTGGGCTGTGGTGCTAGGCCTATGGTGAGACTCTGTGGTCTGGCCTCTCCTCAGTGCTCAAATATTCACTTACCAAAAGCTCGTTTAGGCTGCACCAAGCGCAAAGTAAATGGCTGTGCCTGGGGCATCTCGCGTAACATCTTGGCAACTTCGTAGTGGCGGCATCCAACAATGGTTTGGTCATTAATGGCTTCAATGCTGTCCCCCACAGAGACTGCTGGAATGCGGTTCATTATGCTACCTTCCTTAATACGCTATAAAGTGGGGAAGTACAAAAAAAGAAAAAGGTTAGAAAGAGAATAATTCTATTTATGGCCTAATGAGACTGATCATGAAAAGTGAGACAGGAGTAGCAATTTTTCTCTTTAGCAATTTGAAGATGTCTGGACTTCAACCCTCAGAATTCCTCTGTGAGCATGCTAGCTGAGGAATTCTGGGAGTTGAAGTCCAGATATCTTCAACTTGCTAAGGTTGAGAAACACTGGACAGGGTATGGTAAAAATCTCAAAATGGCAGCTGCAGCAGCATAATCAAGGTTCCACTTATTGTTTTAAATAGGCAAAACTTTGATTGTGTCATTGTGGCTGCCATCTTGATTTTTTGACCATATATTGTAGATACCTCTGTAAGAAGGGTTGGACCTGCATAATAGTTGAATGAGAAACTATTAAGAAATGATGAGGGAGAAACTATTAAGAAATAATGAGGAAAAGGTACAATTATGTTCCTTCCTTTTTTTTTTTTTGCCTTTCTGGGAAATTATTTTCCCTGTTCCCAGTTTGTTAATGGAGGAAAGAAGACTTACATGAATCATACAAATTGGGGAGGGCGGAAATTTTGTTTGTGCTTTAGTTTTATTTATGTGACACGCAAAAGAGCTATCGAACACTGAGAAATATCATGCAATATAAGTCTTGAAACTGTGGACCAATATTTCTCAACCTTGGCAACTTGAAGATTTGTGGACTTCAACTCCCAGAATTCACAGAGACCTCCCCGCATCCAGTAACAATCAACTGGCTGCAATGTGATAAATTGAGATTCAAATTTAGATGACTTTGGCTGCACTCTCTAACTTTCTCTCAGCTTAACCCATTTCCCCCCAACTTGGTGCCTTCTCAGCATGTCACGCTATAAAACCCATGCTGAGTTGGAATTCTGGCATTCAGAGTCCCATGTATTTGGAGAGCCCCAGTGAAAGGGAGATTGGCATAATCTATTGCATGGAGAGAATAGGATTGGAGTGAGTTGTGGAAACTACTTATACCAATTTGGACTCTTTAGAGGACAGGTGTGATAAATGCAACATGAACACTGAGAGGAAAATGGGGACAGAATCTAATGGTCAGAAAACAAAAATGGATTTTATTGACATGGTGAATCCTCTGGAATAATTTATTTATTAGATTTGGGTGCTGCCCATCTTGTCTAATTCATCCAGTCCCCATAAAAATTGCCTCATGTTGCATGTATCATTCCTCCTTGCCAACATTGAGAAATGCTGGCCCAGACCTTCAATTGGTCCCAAATGCTACAAACCAGCTAATAATGAGGCCATGTTATAGGTTATTTATTGAACTACAGTCTATATTTATTCAATTTCTATGGCTGCACATCTCAGTCAATGATTCTATTATGCAAAGCTTTCACACGCAGCTCAAGATCTGGCTTATGAGTGAGATATTTGCAGGTAGAAACATGGCTATTGCAAATCAGCATGTCAGTCTTTTACCCTGTTCCCGAAGACCTACCTTGATGAAAGCATAGCCAGCCCCATTATCTGTGATGGTAAGTCCCAGAGCATCCTCTGTTTTGGTGACCTCCACCTCCTTGGTATCACCGCGGACGTGAGCAAAAATGAAATCCTCCAAACCAATCTGGCCGCCCAGCAGTTTCTGCATATCTACCTTGTGGGTGTTTAAAGTGCAGAATAGGATCTGGAGAGTGGTGTAAAATAAATTTATATTTTATATAGGGAAAAATTCTCTGTGGAAGAAGTCAAAAGGTCAGGAAATCTGAAGGCAAAGCCCTTTGGAGTCCTCTCCTTGCCTATTGCTTTTAGAAGAAGTGGTAAGATTAAAATGGGGAGGAAAATATGGAGTTTATGCAGGCATCTTCACACTGGACTGGAAAAGTCTCCCCCCTTCATAAGTGAACCTATATTTGAGATTATTCTTCCCTGGTTATGCTTGTTTCTGTCCTCCCTATCTCTCATCCTTTCCTGCCATAGACTGTAAGCCATGTGGGCACTGAGCTTTCCAAGCTCAAATTACTCATTAACTCCTTACTCTTCTTTTACCTATAGCTGAAGTTTTCATAGGCCCAAACATTGCTAACCCAGCTTTTAGTCTGCTTCCAGTTGCCGTGAAAGCTCTTCAGTTGCCCCTTCATGCCTGCTCATTCCCAGTCCCTTCTTGGTCCTGGAACCTGATCATTAATCCTTTGTATTTTCTCTTCTTGTTCTGTTATCCTGAGCTATTTCATGGTCTTTTCCCCTTGGCTTCTTTGTTGTTTCTTATGTGTGATGCCGGAGGTATTTTTCAGAATATCTACACAAAAATTCCTCTCTCTTCTGGCAAGATGCTGAACATTTCATCTTATCACTGTATATTCTTAATGGGATGCTTTTTGCATCAGCACACAGTTCTGTGCACCTTCCTCCCTCCCTTCCTTCCTTCCTTTCCTTCCTTCCTCCCCTTCCTCCTCCCTCCCTTGCCATTTTCCTTCCTTCCTTCTCCCTTTCCTTCCTGCCTTCCCTCCCTCCTCCCTCCCCATTTCCTTCCTTCCTCCCTCCCCTTCTTTCCTCCTTCCTTCCTTCCTCTTCCCATTTTCCTTCCTCTTCCCATTTTCCTTCCTTCCTTCTTCCCTCGTCCCTTCTAGTAACAGAGTAATGTAGACTACAATACAGCCACACTGAACATCTAACTACCCATCATGGGCATTTGAGCCTGGCCTCCTTGCCTAATACTTTAGTGAATCCTCTCAGGGCAAAAGGACCAGGCCACCCACTTGGCTGAAAGGCTGAGAGCCCAGCCCCTTCCTTCAATGCTTCCAGCACAATAAATGGCCCCGTCCTTACCTCTGTTGAGGAGATATCAAAGACCTCTGCAATTTTGGCATAGAGCTCCTTAACATTGGTGAACCCCTCAATCTTGGCGGTGGGGCTCCCGTGAGCCAGCTGGGTGTGGAAGATGAGTCGAGGCCGCACCCGGGGTGGCGGGTGGGGTGGTCTTGGAACTGCACCGTTCTGGCCCAGAGCACATCTTTCCCCTACTGCAGAGGGTTGAGAGCCTCCAGTCTCCTGGGCCATGGGGGACCCCTTCTGCTGCTCTGCGTTGTCTTTCTTGCAGTGCTTTCCAGACTTCCGTAGCATTGAGATGCCAGGTGTTTGAACAAAGGGGACGATGGCCTCGATTAAATTATTGATGTTGCAGGTGGAACAGCAAGGCTGTAAGGCGATCCCAGCTCTGGTCTGCTACCTGGAAACCTAATCTCTACCTTCCAGTGGGCAGTTCAGTTCGGTGAGCTGCACCTCTTCCTGACAATGCCACTGCCCAGTCACACACGCAGGAAACTGCAGGAGGAAAAAAATGCCCGATCTGGCAACCTGAAGCACACAAACTTGCAAACTATTTCTGTCTCTGGGTATTTGCAGATGCCATGAGTTTCTCTAGGGAATGAAGATGTTTTGCTGGTATACCTGGAGCACATGAGGCCCAGTTGCTCACTTCTTTTATTTATGGAAAACAATTTGTGCCTGATTTCCTCAGATTCACTGTTGAGATGGTTAAATGGCTATGTTGTTCTTCCATTACAGGTAGTTCTTGACATACAGCCGTTTGCTTAGTGACCATTCAAAATTAGACAGATACCCCCTCCCCCCTTAAAAAGTCACTTATGATCCAGTTCTGAAGTTCTGATGGCCGGACCCTCCCCTCCTGGGGTCATGTGACCAATTTTGAGTACACAATAACAGGCCCTCATTTATAGCTGTTTGCAGCATCCTGCAGTCACATTTTAATGAAAACCTGGCATTTATTCCCGGTTTTCAGCAAAATACCCCTTTGCCGACGATGTCTTAATGACTGTCACATTTACTTTACAAAGGTCATAAAATCGGGTTCTTCATGTGTTGACCTACTTTACAACTGTCACATTTATGACCTAATTGGAAAGCTGCATTTTAACTTCTTCCCTCAAGATGGCACTATAGGGCAGACTTGTCAAACTGGCAGCCTGCGGGCTGGATACGGCCCATGTAGGCCACACTCACTCTGGCTCTACCAAAAATGCAAATAATGTCGCGATACATCACGATCTTGCCCACAAGATGACTGAGTTTGACATTCCTGCTATTGAGCATTACATGCCAAAACATCCAGACCAGAGGTGGTATTCAGCAGGTTCTGACCAGTTCTGGACAACCAATAGCAGAAATTTTGAGTAGTTTGGAGAACCGGCAAATACCTCCTCTGACTGGCCCCGCCCCCATCTCTTCTCTGCCTTCCGAGTCCCAGCTGATTGGCTGGGTCTCCTTTTGTTGCCCTGCACAGGAGAATGGAGCTGGAAAGCAGGTTAGTGGGATGGGGAAGGAATGGGATTTTGCAGGATCCTTCCTGGAGGGGGGTGGAAATTTTACAGTATCCTTCCCCTGCCACGCCTATCATGCCACGCCCACCAAGCCATGCCATGCTTACCAAACCAAACCCACAGAACCAGTAGTAAAATTTTTTGAATCCCACCACTAATCTACACCCAAAGAGTTTTCCCCCCAATGCTATCACTCTGCTAAACAACTAATTCCCACAACACTGTCAAACCATCTAGTAGATCTGTATTACCTATTAACCTTCTCATCTTTCCTATAACCTATTTTCTTAGCTTCTCATTACTATAACTTTGTTATTTGTATCTCATGATTTATGTTGATTGCTTTTTTAGTATCCTATGACTATCACTGACGGTTGCATCTTTTGATTTATGATTGTATTTGTTAGGGATAACAAGATTACCTAACCTAGTTTGGGTAAAATAATATATATAAACTATGATTGTAAGTTTAAGTGTGTGTCACTTAAACTTCAAAGCATGTAATTTTGGATGCGGTTGTGAACCACCATAAGAGGGAGCAAGAGAACCTGACAATTGCTGACTATACTGGATTGATGGTTTGTTAACTGCGTGTTTTCCCTACTGCTGAGTTGCTGAAGGAAGAGAGGAGTTTTTGACTTCTTCATATCTCTACTGCGAGGAGATATATTACTGGACTGATATTTGTAAGTTTACTGACCTCTTTTTCAACACTGGAATTTGCAACTGAATAATCCCCAGATGGACTGAATTAGTGAATGATATATGGACTGTTTGACTATGCTATAACTCTTACTGGAATAAACGATTTAACTAGCACGGTGTATCTGTTTTACTGAGTGTAAGCTACAAAAAACGTCTATCTCACATATTTTGCCTGCCTGCCTGACTGCCATGCAGATTCTGCTAGGGTGTATCCCTAACACTGGTTATGGGCCCAGCTGCACAGTCAGACTAACCAGGATATAACAGGCTTATATAAAGTGAGAGTTAGTGTAGTTACACAATACTGTAAACAGACAGCTGTGTTTTATTAATTATAGTTTAATATCCAGAGAAAAGATGGCCAAGTCAATTTACCAAGTTTGTCTCTAATATCCAAACTGGATGGAACAAACTATGTTTCATGGTCTATGAAATGCAGCCTACTTCCACGGAGAGAAGGTTTGTGGAGTATAATTCAAAACCCACCAGAGGTAGATGCTTGGGATCCGGAGGATGAAGATGATGCCCAGAAAATACAAGAATATAAACTGAAGAATGAGCAAGCTCTCTGTAGAATAGGACTGACACTCTGTGACCAGCAGCTTGTCCATATTCGTGGAGAAGAAACAGCTGCTAAGTGTTGGGAGAATTTAAAGAAGATTTATGTTCGAGACAGTGTAGGAGCACATATAAATCTTACACGGAAGCTGTTCAGAACACATCTTCAAAAGAATGGAGACATGTTGACTCATATAAACACCGTGAAGAGGATTTTTCAGGAACTGCATGAAAAAGAACTTATCTTCACTGAACTACATCAGATTTATATAATTTTGTCTTCATTAGATGAGAGCTATGACGACTATGTAACTTCATTGGAAGTGCTGCCAAAAGATAACCTCACATTAACTGACATTACTGGCAGATTAATTGAAGAAGCCAGGAGAAGGCTTGAAAGGGATCAACTCAGAAGGGAACAACCACAAGAAGAGGAATTATCTTCATCAGCCTACACAATTAGAAAATGTTTTAATTGTGGAAGAAAAGGACATTTGGCTAGATTCTGCAAGAAAGAAAAATGCCACAATGTCAGCCAGAATGCAAAAAGGCATCAAAAGGATAAAAAATGCTTAGAGTTAGCCATGTATAGCAACGAAACTGTGAACAACAATAATAATTTTTGGGTGGTAGATAGTGGAGCATCGCACTGCATAACCAAAGATAAGAAAAGATTTATTAAGATGTCCACGAGTTCACAGCAGATATCGTTAGCTAATGGCTGGAAAATTAAAGCAAAAGGTGAAGGTACTGCACATTGTTCTTGCATACAAGAAAATGTAAAAATGTTATATGTACCACAACTTAAGTTTAATTTGCTTTCGGTTAGAGTTTTGATTAAACTAGGTTATGTAGTTACCTTTAGGGGAGAAAACTGCATAATAGAAAAGGAAGGTAAAAATGTGACTGCAACTTTAAAAGGTGAATTGTATGTGTTACATGATAATCAATTAGAAGTGGCTAACACAGTGTATAATAACGTTAAACCTCATGATGAATGCATACATTTGTTACACAGACGTTTAGGGCATATAAATTTTAAAATGCTCAAGCAAACGGTTGAACTGTCTAAAGGTATAAAACTGAAGCCTTGCAGTAAGTATTTGCACTGCAATGCTTGCAGTCAAGAAAAAAGCAAGGCAATACCAGCAAATAGAATTAATGGATTTAAAACTAAAGAGCCTCTAGAGGTCGTATTTGCTGATATTATAGGTCCTAAAAAACCAAGTGTGGGAGGTGCTCGTTATATATTAAGTATAATGGATCATTCTAGATATGGTTTCTGTTATTTAATGAAGAGTAAAACGGAAACATATCAGAATTTCTTTAATTGGTTGAAGTTTGCAGAAAGAAAAACTAAAAGGAAACTAGTAACTCTTGTAACTGATAATGGTATGGAATTTATAAATAATAAATTCCAAAATAGACTCAAGATGGCAGGTGTAGAACATAAAAGGTCTGCACCATATAGGCCACAACATAATTCCTTTATAGAAAGACGAGGCCAAACACTACAGGCAATGGCTCGTACCATGTTGTCGGATTCAGGATTACCTGAAAATTTGTGGGGAGAAGCAATAATGTGTGGTAATCATATATTGAATAATGTTGTTAATTCAACAACAGGTGAATTACCATTCACACGGTGGCATGGTAGAAAACCTGACCTAAGCTACATGCACACATTTGGAGCACCAGCATGGGTGCATATTCCTACACAACTGAGACATAAGGGGCAGCATAGGGCTAAAAGATTATTTTTTGTAGGTTACGAATCTAACCATAAATCTTACAGGTTCTGGGAAGAAGGTACATCTAGAGTTTACTGTAGTGCTAGTGCACAATTCCTTGAACATATAGGATGGGAAAAACTGGAGCAAGATTCAAGCAAAGATGTAATTATAGAAACCTACAAAAGACCAAACCAACATATCAGTAATAAGAAAAATCCAATTAAAGAGGAAGTACAGGAAGAGCAAATAGGACAAGAACAGGAAGAAATAAGTGAACAGGAAAAAATAGATAACCAGGAACAGGTAGTACATGACAGTCCACCTGTAAGCCCTGTAATACCTAGATGTTCAACACGTGAAACCAGACCACCTGACAGGTACCAAGCAAGTGTAGTTTGCCAAGTTAGTAAAGTTCCAACTACTGTGGAAGAACTTAGAATGTATCCTGCAAAGGATCAAGAAAATTGGCATAGAGCAATGGAAAAGTATTGATTGGTTGGAGGTCAATTAGACAGCAACACATAAGTATGTCCACAATGGAAGCAGAATGTTCATGTCTGTCTTTATTATGTACTGATTTAAGTCTGTATAAACAGTTATTATTGGATATGGGATTAACTGTTAAAGATTCCATTGTTGTGTATGAGGACAATCAAGCAGCCATACAGATGGCTACAAATATTGCTGTGAAAACAAGATCTAAGCATACAGATCTTAGATATCTGAATGTAAGGCAATCTGTAAAGGATGGTTTAATAAGACTGGAATATTGTATGACTGAGCAAAATATTGCTGATCAGTTTACAAAAGCCCAAGGTGCAGTAAAACACAAAGAGAGTTGTGATGACTATGGGTTAAGGTTATAAATAGATATATATATTATTATATTACCCAAAAGGGGAGAATGTTAGGGATAACAAGGTTACCTAACCTAGTTTGGGTAAAATATATATAAACTATGATTGTAAGTTTAAGTGTGTGTCACTTTAAACTGCAAAGCATGTAATTTTGGATGCTGTTGTGAACCACCATAAGAGGGAGCAAGAGAACCTGACAATTGCTGACTATACTGGATTGATGGTTTGTTAACTGCGTGTTTTCCCTACTGCTGAGTTGCTGAAGGAAGAGAGGAGTTTTTGACTTCTTCATATTCTACTGCAAGGAGATATATTACTGGACGGATATTTGTAAGTTTACTGACCTCTTTTTCAACACTGGAATTTGCAACTGAATAATCCCCGGACGGACTGAATTAGTGAATGATATATGGACTGTTTGACTATGCTAAAACTCTTACTGAAATAAACTATTTAACTAGCACGGTGTATCTGTTTTACTGAGTGTAAGCTACAAAAAACGTCTCACATATTTTGCCTGCCTGCCGTGCAGATTCTGCTAGGGTGTATCCCTAACAGTATTTTGTGATTATGGTCGTGATTTATCACTTCTTGTGTGTATATATGCTGAAAGCATATACACTGGAGACAAATTCCTTGTGAGTCCAGTCACACTTGGCCAGTAAAGAATTCTATTCTATAAGGACTAGAAGAAACATAGAATTTGTCTAGCTTCCAAAGGATTACAAATAAGCTCGTGGCACTTTAAGAATTTACAAATGATGCAGAGATTATAACTGGGAGAAAGTAGGGTATGGTTCAGAGCTATTGCTGTGGGGGAAGCTGAGAATGGTAAAATGGAAAGTGATAGTCAAGGTTATAGTATGCCGAAATTGAAGTTTCATCTTGCAGGACCCAGGAAGAAAGCTTTTTCTGCTGTGGTGCCTGTCCTATGGAATATATAATATCTTAAATTGACCCCATTCCTCCTGCCTTTTTAAGAAGGCCATGAAGACACAGCTCTGCCACTATGCCTTGTGGTGGGGGGTATCTGGCAAAGAGGAAGAGCTCTTACACTGGCTATGTAGAATGAATTCTGCTACTGGTTGATTTCTTTTTAACTTGATTATGGACTGTTTAACTTGCTTTCCTATTTTTATCCTTTCCCAGCCACCCAGTTGTTTAGATGACAAGAGCTAACATACAAATCAAATAACAGCAGGCCAGGTGTGTAATATGTTCTGCAAGTACAGGAATTGTGTTTTGCTAGCCCCAAATTTGAAAATACTTTGAGGAAATTAACAAAGCACCCGTATTTTCTTGAAGCGGTGAGCTGGTTACTGGGCAGAAATCTAAGTAGATATCTCAGATTCACTCCTATAGTTTCTTCAGGTAGAATGGAGAAAAGACCCTCCTAGGTATGAGGGCATAAAGTGTTTTGTTTTTTTAAAAACAGGGGACCAAAAAAAAAAAGCTTCTGTTGAATTTCTCCCTGTTTTGTGGGTATTGATTTACTGATTCCTTGTCAATGGTACAACCTCTGACCACTATGACCCAAAAGAAACCTGTCTGGGACTTTAAGACTTCCTGAAGTCACATCAGTTTCTTTCCACAGTTGTTGCGGTGGGCAACAACTTTGTTCTGTTGGAAGTTAAAACCCACCCCTCTCCTAGGAAAATGAAATACTTTAGGATATATTAAAAAGGGCAGAATATTGCCTCTAAAATAGAAGAAGAAACTGAGAGGCAGAAACTCAGCCCCCCCCCTCCCACCTCTGTAAATGGGCCATTAAGGCCCGGGTGAGTCTATTCTACATAACAAATATCTACCTCCTTCAGGCAGAGCCACAATAGGAATTGCCCAAAGCCCCTTCACTGCATCACCCAGCAAACTTATTGCTGATTCAACCAAACTGATTCAAGCTGATTCAACCAAACACACCCTACAAAGCTAGCTATGACCTCTGACAGCAACCATCAGGATACTCTTCCTGCGTCCCAGGAAGTTCAAAGCCAGACGGCATAAAACCCAGGCACTCTCAGCATATCTTCCCTTTTCTTCGACCAAGAGCCCCAAGGCATGTGATCCTGTTCTTCAGTAAACCTTCTTTCCAAGCAACTTGCATGATTCCAATGTCTTTTTCCCCCACTTGGAACTGAACCCAGAAGGATTATTTCTTCCAACAGTTCTTTGGGAATTAATAGCCCAACGTTGTGCGATTTTATCTCCTTATTTAAAATAAAATACGAAGGGCGAGTGGATAGTTTCAACAAAAGCAACTCATTGATAAAGATGGGAAGGGGCGACCAAATTCCTCCAAAGTATTTCATCATAAGCCTCAAGTCCTTGATGAACACTTGCTATTTTGAAGAGCCTTTTGAAGAGCTCTCATTGGCTCCGGGCCTCCATTCCAACCAACCCCAACGCGCTTGGAAGTCATGACGTATTTCATTACAGGAGGGCGGGGCGGGGGGAAATAAAGAAGCTGGCCTATCCCGAAAGAGAGGGGAAGCCGCTCTTCTCCAATCAGCGCCTGGAGAAGCGAAGCTGGTTTAGCATAATGGTACAGCTGGGCGGGGGCGGGGAGGGGGAGGAGTTTCTGCTGGTGAAAGGGACGAGAAAGAGAAAAAAAAAAGAGCAGGAGGACCAGGAAAGTTTTGGGACTCAAATGTTGTTAAGGGTTGCGATAAGAGGGAGCGGGGAGATCAGCCATACCAAAGAGGGGGGTCGGCGGGGGTGGGATGTGGGGGCTGCGCAAGGTGGGAAATTCAGGAATAATCTAGGAACTTATTTGGGGAGATCCTGGGAGGGAAAGATGGAGGGAGGGAGGGGGGGCGGTCTGCCTTCCTCTTTTCCTATCCTCTCCATTGATGTTATCCTTTAATGGTGTCTTCCCCCACATAATTGCGATTTCCCCAGGTTCTGTGTCCCTAGTCTAGATTAGAGCAGCCTCACCTAGCACGCTTTTCAAACGTCCTGGATTGCAAAACCCATAAAGCTCCCAGCCAGCATGGCCGTTTGGAGCTCATTTAACAAATCCTTAAAAGTCCAATGCTTTCAGGAAGTCTCTTCCCCCACCACCACAAAAAAAAGCCCAAGGGCGATGGTACAATGCCTTTTAAAATGGAGATTCTCTTTTACCCGTCCCATCTAATTGATTTGGTACAGGTTTTCTCCCCTACTCTCCCCGAAAAAGTCGTTATAGTGTTGTTTCTTTTTTTTTTAAAAAAATAAACTATTAGTCTTTTATATCTTTAAAAACCGAACCAAAAAATATACAAATTATGACATTAACAGTATGTGACATCTATCTCATAAATTTCTATTTTGTGCTTATTTACAAATACATACAATTTATGCAAATGTAAACCTTTAATCTATAGGTTGCTTATCATTAATTCTTTCATCATCCATTTGCCTTAATTCAATCCAATTATATTTTTCCCAAATTCTATAATATTCAGAGTCCTCTTTCTCTCATAACATCAGGGTTAATTTATCCATCTGAGCCCACACTGTTATTTTTTGATTGATCAATTTGTCTGATGGTATGTAATTGTGCTTTCAACATTGAGCGTAGGCAACTCTAGCAGCCGTTAAAATGTGTAATATTATATATTTTATATTTTTCCTACAGTTCTTTTTAAATATCCCTAAGAAGAATAATTCTGGTTCCAATTCTATTTGTTCCTTAAGGATCTCTTGCAACCATTTTTTTTTAATTTTAAGCCAGTACCTCTGGGCTTCTGAACAGAACCACCACATGTGATAAAAAGTACCCTCTTCTTGCACTTCCAACATGCTGGGTTCATGTTGGGATACATTTTTGCCAATCTCCCAGGTTGTTTCTAAAGTTGTGTATTTCAGCAGTCAGCTTTGCCTCTTGAACAATGAATTCCAGAAATTCTGTATAGTGAGTGTTTAAGTGAGGTGGGATTGAGGGGAGGCATCTGCTCCATCTGTTTGATTTTGGTTCTGTGGGATTTTCTAATAATATAGAAGTTCAACAATATGAATGGAGCCCCAATTAAGGTCTTTGTTCAAGGTGGAGATTGATTCTCCATATGCCACAATGTCCATGTTTTGCATAATACAGACTCTTAAGTTAGGTAAACTTAAGCCATGTGGTTAATTGGTACAGCATGTCATATAATTTCAGAAAACTGCATTGAGAAAACCATATTTCTGTTTATTGTAAGGGTATTGTATGAACAAATCAGAGGAATTTATTTATCCATCTTAGGACATAAAATGCAGTTGGTGTATCTTCCAAATTGGAATGTCCTTTCCCAGGTCACTAATTATCTTTACAGACAGGGATTGGGAACCTGTAACTCTGCAGATGTCATGTAGCAACGTACACTAGCCACAGAAACAACCACATTTGGAGAATCAAATTCCCTATCACTAGTGTAAGATTATGAGGGGATGGTGGTTGCTCAGTCCAAAATATTGAGCTATAGTGTTTCTCAGCCTTGGCAATTTTAAGATGTGTGGACAATTTTAAAAAGTATGGACAATTTTAAGATGTGTGGACTTCAACTCCCAAAATTCTCTAGCCAGCAAGCTGGCTGGAGAATTCTGGGAGTTGAAGTCCACACATCTTAAAGTTCCCAAGGTTGAAAACACTTAAATTACTGTATGTGGACTAATCCCAATTCAGTATTTGGCAGCTAACTTACTATATAACTACAAATCCCCTAATTCCCATTGACCATGCTGGCTGGGAATGATGGGAGTAGCAGTCCAGTGTAGCCGAAGAGCTTCCATTGAAGAAGTAAGCACCATTCCATTGGTTAACCTTTGTTATACATCCAGAGGAGCCTTCCTGTGTTCTATTGAAATTTTCAGATTAGAAACCTTTGGGCATAACATAAATTGATCTTGCAGGGCCTTTTACTTCTTAATCTATGTAAATGGAGCCTCTTTTAGAGTCATCTTACCTCTAACACTATTACTGTACAGAATCAAGAGGAAAAAATTAAGGTATTTTGCCTTCTTTGCAAGCCCTCAACTCAGCCATTGTAAGGGCTAAAATGCTGGATTAAACATTTAGACCAGAGGCCTCCAAACTTGGCAACTTTAAGACTTGTGGATTTCAACTCCCAGAAGGAGCTGAAGTCCACAAGTTTTAAAGTTGCCAGGTTTGGGGAGCCCTGATTTAGGCATCCAGAAAAGGAGTTCAGAGTCATTTCATCTCCTGTGTAAATTATTTCCTGCCCAAGCTAATTGTAATTTACACTAATAATTTTCACATGTCCTTTTCAGGTTCCTTAGTTTAAGTGGACATTTATGGTTTTCTTGAATTCAAGAGAAAAGAATGTCACAGAGCTCCAAGCAGCAATCTACCAGCCTTCTGTAAGTGATGAACACTTTTTATTTTGGAGAGTGGGGACTTTGGATTGCGTGAGAGACAAACTCTTAAGGTTTGTCTACATGGGATCTTTCTCAAAAATCTAACTTGTATCTAAAAATTTCCCTAAACCTATTTTGAATCGTCACAAATACTGTTAAATGTTTAAATATCCAAATCGTGAAATCCCACATCTTGAGTATATGCAGAATCTCCTTTTCTTAGCCAGCTTCTAAAATCCCATTTAGCCACCTCTTTCATTTTTTGAAATTTACCAGTCCTGGTTATATTTGCATGGCACTATCCTACAGGTTTGTTTATCTATGTATTTATATCTATGTATTTCTCTATTTTCTACAACTCAAGGGGGTGTACATCTTTCTCTTACCTCCTTTCCCACCCTCACAACAATCCTGTGAGGTGGCATAGACTGAGAGAGAATGACTGGCCTAAAGCTTTCATGCTTAAGGGAGAACTAGAACTCAGAATCTCTTGGTTTTTACATCTGCTCTTTACCAATTATCCCAAATTGGCTTATTAATCTATCACATGAGCAAGCTACATCTTAGAGCAGGGGTCTTCAAACTTGACAGCTTTAAGACTTGTGGATTTCAACTTCCAGAATTCCTCAGCCGTCTGGAGAATGCTGTCTAGAGAATTCTGGGAGTTGAAGTCCACAAGTCTTAAAGTTGCCAAGTTTGAAGGCCCTTGTCTTAGAGGATGCTTCCTGTTGATTCTTCCTCTTCGCATCAACAAGGAAGCAAATTAGACATGTAACTTACACTAATGACTGGAGCCAAACTTGTATTTTTTGTGTGTGCCCAAATAAGCCAGGATCATTTCTTTATTAAACAAATTGATATAGCGGCCCAACTCGCACATAGATCACCCAGGTACCAATTTAAACTTGTATGTGGGTGGCTTGTTATCTCTGCTGTTTAGGTTGAATAAAACATTTTGCATTCTGTCTCTTTATTTTCTGAGTGAATGAGTAGAGCATAGGAACTGTGTGTATTTGCAAACTTGTTTCTATAGTGGTTTAATATTCCTGCTACAATTCTTAACTGAAAACAAATTGGACATGCCCAGTGAGTCATTGTATTAAAATGGTCTTTTCAACTAGGAGGACTTGTTTTTCATGTAATGTTGGGAATCACTTTATATATTTAAGTTTAAATATGTTTTTTAAAGATCTCAAAACTAATCAAAAGTCTGATTATGTTTCATAGGGCTTTTTTCCCCCGCTACACCTTATTTTTCTCTTCTGTTCTTATTGATTAATTTAATTCTAGCTATGTCCCTAAATCTGTTTTAGTTTTGATGGTAGATTGGAATGTTTTGAAGTTCTCCATTGCTGTTGTGGAAACCTTTCTTGGTAACTTTGGATTACAGGAATGCTGCAAGTAAAACTCAACATGGGAACTTCCTAGTGGCCATTAAGCAGGAGAAAGGCGAGGCCCCTCGGTTAATTGGGGAGAAGCCCCATGGCGAAGAGGAGGTGAGCCCCCTGGTGCGTCCATATAAACACACTGTCAATTTTGATTTTGATTTTTTTTAAACCTAGCTCACCTGAGAAGGTAAATGCCCTTAGTAAATCAGAGAGAGAGAGAGGAGATACAGAGAGATAGAGAGAGAGAGAAAGAGAGAGAGATAGGCAGAGAAAAAGATACACACAGAGAGAGACTTGTTGATTGTAAGCTCCTGGGGGCTGAGAAGAATTGTTGCAAAACTGAGTTTCCTGAAGTGGACCACTGGACTCCTAAACAACTTAAAAAACGCTCTAGTAAAAAGAAAAATCAACCAAAAGAACAACATGCAAACAAAAGCAAATAAAACACCCCCAGGAGCAAAACAAACGAAAGTTTAATTTGCACGTATTGTTTAATGGATTGCTAAATTGGCCATGCCCCCCCAGTCACATGACCACCTAGCCACGCCCACCCCCACCTCCCAAGCCGGTCTGCATCCCCTGTTGGCCCCCTGTTTAAAAAGTTTGAGGACCTCTGGTTTATAGCAGTTTGAAAGTATCAAAATAAGAATGGCCAGATTTTGCTTACAAAAAGTTTTTAAGTATTAAATTTGGTGATGTTTAGATTAGATCACTCAGCACAGTGACAACTTCAGCCAAAGCTCTGTTCCTACTTCATAATACTAAGCAAGGTCAGACCTTGTTGTGTTTGAATGAGAAGTCACCAGAAACATTGTAGCCGAATTATTGGCTGGACTGGGAGTTTTAAACATCCAGAAAAAAAATAGCAAACAATTTCTACGTTGTTGCAAAGAAAACTACATGGATGAAATTACTAGGAGTCAAGCTCAACTTGCATAAGACTTTAGCTTTTCGATAGATTAATTACGCTTTCTTGAGCGGCATGGTAGGCTAGTGGTGAAGATACTTGCCTCCAACTTGGAAGGTTTAGAGTTCAATCCTAGGCATGGTAGATGTTTCTTAGGGTGCGAAGAAAAAAAAAATCTGCTGAGAACTAAAGATAGGCATTAGGAAGGGCATCCGGCCAGTAAACACTCAACTCCATCCAATTGCCCCAGTTCTACTGCACTCCATCCTTTTAAGGATGTCTTCTCTAGATTTAGATTACCATCTGACAGATGGTACAGAATATTAAAAACAAGCACAAATAGGTAGAAAAACAGCTTCTGTCCCAGGGCAGTAGCTCTTTTGAATTCTACTGTATAGTGCAGTGTGGGTGCGGTGTTGCGGGTTTTTGGTTCAATGTGTGGAGTGTGAAGGATATGTGTTTGTGTGTTATTTTCATGGCCATGATGTGCACTGAAGATGGTGTTTGATTTCGTTGTACGAGGTGCAATGACAATAAAGTAAACTAAATTTCTGAGGACTAGAAACTTTCATTTTGGAATGTAGCCAGAGATTCCATGTATACTGAATCTCACAACCAGGATGGCAGTTCAGGATTTTCCTGTTTGCTTGTGTGGGATTGCCACAGATATGTGGTGGCAGTCCTGGACACAGGCCTCCAGAAATGCCAGGAGTGACAGAGCAGAGTGACTCAAACTTTTTTGTTTCTACTGTGGGCAGCCGGTGAAAAAGCGGGGCTGGCCGAAAGGCAAGAAGAGGAAGAAAATCCTTCCAAATGGACCGAAGGCCCCTGTGACGGGCTACGTCCGCTTTCTGAATGAACGACGGGAACAAATTCGCATGCAGCGCCCGGATTTGCCCTTCCCAGAGATCACAAAAATGTTGGGAGCAGAGTGGAGTAAACTACAGCCCACAGAAAAGCAGGTGAGAGAACATGGAAATATGTAAGGTTTTCTGAAGCCAGTAGAAATACAAACTGTGATTGTTAGGCATGAATAAGTGTCAAATCTTAACTTCTAGGTTCTCTCAGCTTATAATCGATCCCTTAGCAACCATTCAAATTTACAATGGAACACACACACACACCCCGCCAAAAGATACAACCTGGATTCAAAGTTCCTATGCCTCCCTCCCACCTGGGTCACATGATTGCACTTTTTTAGGTAACCAGCCTGCATTTATGAGCATTTGCAGCATCCTGTGACTTCAATGTATGGAGGGTTTTTGGCTAGAAACCGATTTACTTCCAGTTTAAAAAAAAAACATTCACTGTGAACAATAAGTTTGCTTTATGACTGCAGTGCTAGCATAAAGACTGCCTCAAAATAAAGGTCATAAAATTGGACATTATCACATGATGACCTGCTTAATGAGCAGCATAACCTACGGCCTTAATTATATGTTCCATTATGGTTGTAAGTGGAGGACTACCTGCATTTTGTCCCTATCTAAGGTTAATCTAGAACAAGGGTGTCAAACTCAAGGCCCTCAAACACAACCCTGATGCGGCCCTCGATGAAATCGGAGTTTGACACCCCTGATCTAGAAGTTACTATTTCAGTTTTGCTTCTACAAGTTTGCATTGCTTTGATTGAATTCTGTTTTTATTGTAATCAGGTGTCTGATTAGGTGCCATCTAGTTGGTTCCTAGTGAACACACAGGTGGATTTTCTTCTGGGTAATTGTCCACAAACTGACCTTTTAGGATTCCATCAGAGACCCATCATTGCTATATTTGAATTAATCCACTATGCTGCTGGTCTTCTTCTTCCTTTCACATAATCTATCTGAAATAAAATAATTTGAGCCTGACTATTTGTGCCTTGATTGAGAAGTCTGGGTATTCAGTGATCCATTTGTTGGTTTTCTTGGCTATCTGTGGTATTCTTTGAAGTCTTCTCCAACACCAAAGTTCAATAACTTCAATACTTTTTTCTATTGTATTTCTGCAAAATCTGAAGTTACAGATAGTCCTCGAATTACACCACAGTTGAGCTCTATATTTCCGTTGCTAAACAAAGACAGTGAAGTGAATTTTGCCCCATTTTATGTCCTTTTTTACCATAGTTAAGTGAATTACTGCAATGAGTAACACGGTTGTTAAGTGAATATGGTTTTCCAATTGATTTTGCTTGTCAGAAAGTCACAAAAGGGGATCCCCTGACCCCAGGACACTGCAACCACCATAAATGCAGTCCAGCTGCCAAGCATCTGAATTTTTATCATGTAACTATGGAGATATCGCAACGGTTGTAAGTGCGAAAAATCTCATAAGTCGCTTTTTTCAGTTGTAAGCTGAGGACTACCCATATTGGCATATTATGAGCTTCTACGATTATAAGCATGTTTTAGTAAGCACAGGAAGAAGATCCTGTAGAGATTCTCAGTCATCCAGGTCATGGTTGTCCCAAAGGTGCTTTTTCAACTGGACTTTCTTGTTTTTTCTTTGACCATGATTGAGAATTTCTACAGACTTTTAGCTACACAATTTGGGATGAACCCCCTTTGAATGGTGTGGGTGTAGGAAAGGATTTCTAGAGGGGGGAAAAGAATTGCAGGCTACAGGAACCAAGAGCACTACTCAGGTGACCCTGAAGACACAGATAAACCTCCAAGTGCTTCAAGGACCCTCTAAAAGGATGCAAATGACCAGCTGTCTGCAAGGAGTATAAATCCTTCCATTCCCCACCATCCTCTCAGAGCTGAAGAAGCTTCTTAGATGAGAAGAGAAATGTCTTCAAAAAAACAAAAACAAAGAAAATCCAGTTGCCTCCTGAAAAAAGCACCTTTGGGACACAGGATAAAGAGAGATGGAGTTTGTGGATTGGGTCCATTGTAACTTTTCCTGTGTTTTCAGCGCTATCTGGATGAGGCTGAACGGGAGAAGCAGCAATATATGAAGGAGCTGAGGGAATACCAGCAATCAGAAGCTTACAAGCTGTGTGCTGAGAAGATGCAAGAGAAGAAAATTAAGAAAGGTCAGTTTTGCAGTTGTATTGGATATTTGTAGATCCAACATAGAGTACAAGTTGTCTCTTAGGGGTTCCCTATTATTATATTTCTTCCCCATACTGTTGTACTAAAGGGACACATTTGCTTTTTATTCAGTAATGTATGTATGCAACAAAATAATTAATGGACTCAAAGAAACGCTTGTTAATTTTGTAATACAATTTGTGTCTATACATTTTTATGTATTTAAATACATTTCTGAAAAGAGGTGTGTAGGTTTTACCAGCCTCTCTAACAAGTCTGTGGCAGGAGTCCCCAAGCCCAATTTGTGGACTGAAACTGGGCCATGCAAACAAGTGAAGCTCCATCCATGGGATGCAGGCAGCATGTGAAACCATGGGCCCCCCAGGCCGCAGAAAAACCTCTTTCTGTGGAACCGGTCCCTGGTGCCCAGAAGGTTGGGGGCCACTGGTCTATGGCACAAAAATGATTAAGAACCCCTGACTTACAGACTTCTCTAGCAGTTTGCTGTCCCCCTTCCCCTCCAGCTGATTTCTCAGCCTTCTTTGTAATTGCTCTTTAAAAAGAACCCTCCATGGAAAGCCTCCTGCACCAACCTGGAAGCCAAAACAGGGCGCCGTAGCGCTGTGTGAGGCCACCCTGCACCGCGTTTTGGGCCTGTAAAGCCATCTGCACCAACCTGAAGCCAAAAATGGGCGAGGAGGGGCAGGGCGCATGTGCGTGGGGGGTGCATGTGTGGGTGGTGGGGCGCATGCACTGGGGCAGTCGCATTATATTTTGGGGTTTGCAGAAGACTGGCAGAATGCATCCATGAACACCAACTAACAGTCTGATAACATGATGAAAATTCTTTAATTTCACAACATACAGGCAGGTTTAGTTAGCCGTTCCTTTGATGTACACATTATACAGAAACCTAATTTCAAATGAGCTTGCCTATTCTTGCAATTTGTTCCTTGGATTTTTTTTTCCTGATCTCCAAAGGGGTAAACAAATTTTGCCTACAGATACTCCTGATTGGTTAAATTTTCAGCTGTGAAGTCTTATTTACTATGGCATCACCGAATGTAGGAATTCTTGATCCAAGTGAATATCAGTTTCTTATTTTCCTTGCATATTCCCTTCCCTCCTGTCTGTTTGAAGTTAAAAGCCCTAGGAGGGATTTAATTCAAATCGTGACTGCATTATCAGCTCCTCGATACCTGCTTTGATTAACTAATTTTTTTCTTTTAAAAAATATTATTTTAGAGGATGCTGGTGCTGGAACTGTGAATACATTGCTCAATGGATACAAGGTAATTTGTCAGGGTATAAGGGATGGCTTTCATTTTCGCTTTTACGAATATCAAACCTGAAAATGAGAAATTGTGCTGTTTATTTTCTAGTTACTAGTCAATGAGGTAAGATATTTCACCATCCATCTGTTTTGCATTTTAACTAGCATACTGAAAGTTGAAAAAGTACACTTTCTCTAGGTTTCTCCCTCACCTTAGTTATTGCAACTGAGCTACAATTTCAAAACATTTGTATCTGAATGTCAAAGGCAAACCGCCCCCCCAAAACATAAACAATCTGAGCCTAAAAACTACAGATAAACTCCAAAAAAGCAGTTATGTCGATGTAGTTTTTGATCTAGAAATTAGATTTAGAATTTGCATGAAAGCTTTCCGTTGCAGTCTTAAAGAACTTTCTACTGATTTGAAAATTAGGGGAACAATTAACAATATGTTTATTTCTAAGAAAAATCCATTTGGCACTGCCTAGATAATACCATTTTAGTTTCTTGATCATTAAATTAATGGTGACTGTGTTTATTAACTGCTGTGACTTCTCAACTATAAGAAGAATCATACTGTAGATATAAACTTTTGTTTTAACCCGTTAGCTTTGTCCTGGAGTGTTGATACCAGACTTGTGGCACATTAATGTATAGTGTAGCTCCATTGCAATATCCAACCTTTCATTGCTAATTCTGAAAAAAGAAAGGATATTCTAAGGCTGTATAGAAATATAGTGTGTTCCCACATTTTCAGTGTTTCTACACCAAGCTGAGAAAAATATGTAATCTTTAAGTTATTAATGCTTTTTGGCCAGCTTTTTAAATCTATCTTTTCTTGCAGACTGGAGAAAGTGGCAGTGATGGTTTCTCAACATTTGATGTCCCTATTTTTACAGAGGAATTCTTAGACCAGAACAAAGGTACAAATGAAGCTGTTGAAATGCAGTCAGTACTAAGATAAAGTGGTTTCCCTTATGGAAACTGGGGCATACCATTTCTTCCCACTGCCCCGCCTTCCAAAAGCCACAAGGAATGGCTGCAACCCAAATCTCAGATCTGATGGGAATGAATTGTTGGACTGAGTGTGTATGTATATTAAAAGGGGATGCTGCCTTTCCTATCTCTTTATATACACCAGAGATATTTTACAAAGAAGCTTTAACACACAATGAAGATAGGTTTGAAACTAAAGATACCCACATTTTCCAGGAAAGTTGTGGCTTTATTAAAATGTTAATTGACTTGAGGAAGGAGGACCAGCTTGGCTTAAAATGGCTAGAAAATCTGGAATTGAACTTTTTTTTTGCCTTCAATTGTGATGGAAGAGAGATTACAGTACTAATCCCTGAAAGAGTGGAAATCTGTAATACCAGAGATGGATAATGACATAAGAGGCAAGTTCCAAGAACCATTTCAAAGCAAAGGTTCTTTTTCAAGAGGCAACAAGACTTTCTGTTTTTGTTTTATAAATCCTTCCATTCCCCACCATCCTGTCAGAGCTGAAGTAGCTTCTTGGATGAGAAGCGAAACAAAAGGAAAGGAAAGGAAAGGAAGGGAAGGGAAGGGAAGGGGAAGGAAAGGAAAGGAAAGGAAAGGAAAGGAAAGGAAAGGAAAGGAAA